ATCACCTATGACAGGGCCGCTGGCGTATTTTCAGAAAATTAAAAAAAAAAAATTCTAACCCGCTAAATGGCTTTCTTTTTGAATCATTACGGCCATCGCTGCTGACAAAAGGAACCTGCCGAAAAGTCGGAACAGATGGGGAATCGGCGGACAAGGAGAATATTAGATTTGTTTTTTCTTCCCGCTTAGCACAGCGCTGATTGGATTTGTAGAAGCGTCTCGCCATTTCTCCGGGCGATTTAGAAGAAGGCAGGTTCCAGTTTCTGGCTCATTTCGCTCATTACTGGCGGCTGGCAGGTGTTGGCCTGTTTAATAAACATTCCGCCGCACGGAAGACAAAACCAGGGCGAGGGACGGAGACGCAGAGAGGTTGTGGCAGGCGGCAGGACGGCTGTGCTCCTGTCTCAATATTTTCTTTTTTCACAAACTAATTTGCCGAGCCGTTCTGCCTGACCTACTTTTCCCCCTGAATTATTTCCCTGAGATGTGACGGAGCCGCCGAGCGCACACATTCACCTACACACGGCTCCGCCAGGATGAAAGACCCCACTGAGCTCACATCCAGCCTCGGTCGGTCTTGTAAGAATGGAGAAATGCGCTGAAGGTTACAAATCACATCCGCACGTGTGCAATCAACGCTGCTCATGGGCAGGGCTGCATAATGGTTGCTGGTTTGCAAAACAGTGCATTGTGTGTGATGGTTAGTTTGTTTCCTGAACAGATAGAAGAAGGGCCTTGTATTCTTCCAAAATCTAGGGAGGTGGAGCTTTTCTCACTTTTGTCCCACTGACCCTTTTTAGGACGCTGCATTCACTATATGTGGTCTCCCCGGACCCTGCATTCACTATATCTGGTCTCCCAGGACCCTGCATTCACTATATGTGGTCTCCCCAGATCCTGCATTCACTATATCTGGTCTCCCCGGACCCTGCATTCCCTATATCCGGTCTCCCCGGACTCTGCATTCACTATATGTGGTCTCCCCGGACCCTGCATTCACTATATCTGGTCTCCCTGGAACCTGCATTCACTATATCCGGTCTCCCAGGACCCTGCATTCACTTTATCTGGTCTCCCCGGACCCTGCATTCACTATATCTGGTCTCCCAGGACCCTGCATTCACTATATCTGGTCTCCCCGGACCCTGCATTCACTATATCTGGTCTCCCCGGACCCTGCATTCACTATATCTGGTCTCCCGGACCCTGCATTCACTATATCTGGTCTCTCAGGACCCTGCATTCACTATATCTGGTCTCCCCAGACCCTGCATTCACTATATCTGGTCTCCCAGGACCCTGCATTCACTATATCTGGTCTCCCCGGACCCTGCATTCACTATATCTGGTCTCCCCGGACCCTGCATTCACTATATCTGGTCTCCCCGGACCCTGCATTCACTATATCTGGTCTCCCCGGACCCTGCATTCACTATATCTGGTCTCCCCGGACCCTGCATTCCCTATATCTGGTTCCCCACAGTACACAGAACATGAAAGTGCAATTATTTTAGTAAATATAAACTACTAAATACATTTTTTCATCAGCAGTACATAGCAGTCTTGTGACTTCTATCAGTGTCCAGCAGAGCACTGGTTGAAGGTTGTAGAAGGAGTTTTCATCTCCTCTAGGAAGATGCAGGATCTTTTACCTCTGTCTGGACAGTGCTGATTGGCCCTGTGCTGATCACATGCACTCTCCCAAGAAAAAAACAACAACCTTTCTAGCAATACACACCAAACTGAGCATGTGCAGAGTGACTCCACACAATATGTTTATCAGGAGATAAGAGGGGGGCACTGGAAGAATGGGAGGACCAGAGAAGACAGGATCACACCGCTTTTTTACACAATGCAGAGGATTAACCCCTTAGGTTCCACAGTGGGTATAACAAGCATGCTTTACTGCATATACAGACTGATTGTACTGTTGTGGGTTTAGTAACACTTTAACTCTTCCCGGCTCCATATACACACATGGGAAAGAAGAGGATGGAACTCCGCACTCCAAGAAAAACAGCCCAGGTATAGAGAAGAGTAAAAGTGCTTCAGCCTGACTCCGCCCAGGCCACGTTCTGACACGTTTCACCCCATAAATGACTAAGCCCTGTGGATGCCAGGCTGAAGCCACTTTTAGGGTCCTTTCACACGGGCGGTCTGTTTTTTTCATCAGTTCAGTCATGTTTTTTTCAAAGAAAAAAACGGATCAGTTTACATCAGTTTTTTTTATTCATTTACATCCGTTTACATGCATTTTACATCAGTTTACATCATTATTATTATACAGGATTTATATAGCGCCAACAGTTTGCTCAGCGCTTTACAATATAACGGGAGACAATAGAGTTCAATACAGTTCAATACAAGAGGGTTAGGAGGGCCCTGCTCCTTGGAGCTTACAATCTAAGAGGGAGGGGCTAGTGGTACAAAAGGTAGTAACTGTGGGGGTTGGACTGGTTGGAAGAGTAGAATATTCCATTATTAGCTGAGGGTAGGATAGGCTTCCCTTCAGAGATAGATTTTCAGAGATTGCCTAAAAGTGAGCAGAGTAGGTGATAGTCTGATAAATTGGGGTAGAGAGTTCCTGAGGATGGGGGAAGCTCTGGAGAAGTCCTGGAGACAAGCATGGGAGGAGGAGACAAGGGAGCTAGAGAGTAGGAGGTCTTGCGAGGATTTTGTTCATCAATTGTTTCATCTATTTACATCCGCTCCGTTTTTGTTTACGGAAAAAAAAAATTTTTTTTTCCTTTAAAAAAAAATGGATGTTAACGGATACGGACATTAACGGATGTAAACGGTTGATCATCCGTTTACATCCGCTAGTCCATAGAAATACATGGGTGCCTGTTTTTCATTTGAACGCCCGCATTTTCTACTGCGTTTTGCAGAAATGCAGTACAGTCCATTTAACATGATTTCCTATGGCACAGGTTCACATCTCTGGATTTTCACCTTGTGTGTTTTTTGGAAAGGGTCAGGGACTTTTTTGAACGCAAACAAAAAAAAGCTGCATTTTTGTTTCTATAGACTTCAATGGGAACGCTGCAGAAAAGCATGTATTGCATTTTTGTTGCATTTTTATGCTTTGTGTTTTTGATGCATTTTACGTTTAAAATCTGCCTAGCAACAAGAAAAAAGAAAAAGAAAAAGCAAAACGTAGTAAAAACGCAACACAAAACGCAATGCAGAAATTCCTTAAACACAACCTGCATAGGTGTGAACCTAGACTTAGTCTTTTGTATACTCGGGTTGCTCTTCTTGGAGCGTGGCATTCCTTCTAGCTCAGTCACTGTGCTAGGAGCATGCAATGAGTGCGCTGTCAGCACAGGAACCTCAGCCGGCCACGGATGCACATGTGTGGTGTGTGGGCGTGGAAGCCCACCCTCTTTGTTGCCGCACATAATTTTTAGGGGGTGGTAAGAGGTTGAATACCTTCCCAGAAATCAGGCTGACAATGGGAGTGTCAGCACACTGAACCCCATCAAGCTCAATTGCTATGGACGGTGTCGACAGACAAACATGTTTCAGGAACTGGGAGATGGAGGGGAAGTCGTTCAGGAACTGCAGGTCAAAGTATGGAGAGTGAAGGGACAAAACTGTTCACGATAATCATTCACACTCTTTGGCAGGAGGTAGCATAGTACTCTGATTGGCTGCGATAGAGAGAAGTAGTGTCGCCCCGTGGGGGGGATTTTCTAAAACTGGACAATCTGGTGCAGCTTTGGCAGCCAATCAGCTTCTAACTTCAGCTTGTTCAATTACACTTTGACCATAAAACCTGGAAGCGGATTGGTGTCTATGCAGAGCTGCACCAGATTTTACATCTTTAATAAATAAACCCCTTTGCCTGTGTGTTGTGACAGGAGTGTGTGAATCACAAGAGTAGCTGAACAGAATTACACATTTTATAGCATCAAAGGCCGGTTGTGTATTCTGTACTTGAACTGTACTTTTAGCTGTTTGGTCGTAGCTTTTTGGGTTTTTTTCATGTTATTTAAATTGTACTTTTGATGAGTGGACTTCTAAAGTGCTGTTATAACTTTGTGGTCACGCATGCCGAACTTTCTCAGCTATAATGAGTCACAACACAACAGTTGTGTGCAATGCAATTAGGACGGTGACAAGATATAGCCACTAACTGATGATAACCTCTAAATCCTCAGATACCTAAAAATAAATCGTCTTAACGTTCGAGATAACAAAGTAAATGTTTCTGTGGAAACTAGATGTACACCAGGCGGTGTGAAGCAACTTATCTCTGCGGAATGAGACCGTCACATGTTTGTATGTCAAAAATGTCACTTGTGAGTAATTCCTGCGAGTATCGAGAGCGCAAAAAGCTGAAATGCTTAACAAGAAAAGAAAAGCTTGATGGCAAAATTATCAAATAATAGTGGGGAAAAAATTATTCACTCTGTTCTTTTTTTTTTTTCCTGTAAAAAAAAAAACAAAAGCAAAAAATTGTTATGTCATTGTGAATAATTTTTTTTTTCCCCCAAATATTTTGACATGACTACATTGTCCATTAAACATCATTAAATGTGTTGACCTGTTTTTTAAATTTGGTGAGGCAGGTTCACAGATGCCCATTTTTATTTATTTATCTATTTATAGTCATATTCATGTTTTAATTAAGTTCACATAAGAAACTTAACCAGAAAAATCATTAAAAAGGTTTATTCATACTAATATAAAGCAATGGGATTGGATAAAATAAATGTGTTTCCATCACCTTCTAACTGCCTATATACAATTATAATAAATAGTTAAACTATATACTGTATATACCGGTGTGTGTGTGTGTGTGTGTGTGTGTGTGTGTGTGTGTGTGTATATATATATCTACACACACAGTAAAAAAAATTCTCTTGTTTTCATATATATATATATATATATATATATATATGTGTGTGTGTGTGTGTGTGAAAACGAGAGAAATGTTTTAAGTGTGTTTTGTGTATGTATAAGTTATAATTATTTTTATTGAAAATCTACAAAATATGGCTTTTTTTTTTTGTTTTGTTTTTAGGCAAAAAGCACTAGCATCAACCGGTGGGAGAAGTGTTCAGGCAGCTTGTGATTGGTGAGTTCTATAAAATAAGCAAAAATGATAGCACCATTTTTTTTCCCGACATCTTTTAAGGATTATTGTGAAAACTTTTTAAAATCTGTATTATAAACAAATATGGTTTTATACATAAATATATATACAGTATATATATTTTTTAATTTATATTAATCATGACTGTTTTTATATGTGGGAATGTACATTTAGTTAAAAAGGGTGTGTGTGTGTTTATTTATATATATATACCGTATATATATTTAATATCACTTTTTAAATATTTAACTTTTTTCTTCTTTTGTCTTTTTTTTTTATAGATTATTCTGAAAGTATTCCTTTTCATTAATTTTTTTTTTATTCATATACATATATTGAGTTAAAGTGTGTGTGTATATGTATGTATGTGTGTGTATGTATGTATGTATGTGTGTGTATATATAATATATATATATTTGTGTATGTATGTGTGTGTGTATGTATGTATGTATATAAAAATATATATATATATATTTCTTTTCATTCATTTTTTTTTATTCATATACATATATTGAGTTAAAGTGTATGCGTGTATGTATGTGTGTGTGTGTGTATATATATATATATATATATAGATATAATATAAATGTATGTGTGTGTGTATGTATGTGTATATATATATATATATATATATATATATATATATATATATATATATGGGTGTGCATATATGTGTGTGTGTGTTTTTGTATATATATATATGTTTGTGTTGGTTTGTATATATATATGTGTGTGTGTGTGTGTTTTTGTGTATATATATATATGTTTGTGTTGGGTGTGTATATATGTGTGTGTGTGTGTGTTTTATATATATATATATATGTTTGTGTTGGGTGTGTATATATATGTGTGTGTGTGTGTGTTTTTGTATATATATATATATGTTTGTGTTGGGTGTGTTATATATCTGTGTGTGTGTGTATTTGTATATGTGTATATATATATATATATGTGTTTCTGTTGGATGTGTGTGTATTTGTATATATATATATATGTGTGTGGTGTTTTTTATTAATATTTCAGGACTAACCATCCTCACATTATGTTAATTTTATCCCTAACATGTAGTACAGCTGCAGATCGAAATCTCATTTTTCCCCCAGGCTCTTCTCTCATGTGGATGACCCCTTCCTGGACGACCCTCTGCCCCGCGAGTATGTCCTGTACCTGCGACCCATGGGTCCGTTGGCGCAGAAGCTGTCTGACTTCTGGCAGCAATCGAAGCAGCTCTGTGGCAAGAACAAAGCACACAACATTTTCCCGCACATTACGCTCTGCCAGTTCTTCATGGTACGTCCCGTGCTCTTCTGGGGCCGGCCTAGCCACTGCTTAGAATTGGAGGACCTCCTATGGTGACTTTACTGCATTAGTTCAGGTTTTCTGAAATCCATTGCCTTGATAATGTAGCTGGATATAGATGGAACGACATGAATCTCCATGGAAGTGGGTTGATCTGACAATCTCACCAGCTACTATAGAGCAGACGATGTAAGATTGTACCTGTGATGTAGAGCTCTTTACCGTCTATAACAAGTGTAGATTGGGCCGTTTGGTTGCTGTGTGTGGGTGGCATTTGATGTGGCCTTGCAGTTCTGATTTGGGTAAAATGCAGCGCTTTGACCTTTCTGTGTATTTCCGCAGAAATAAATAAGGTGTTGGTTGGCTTTGAAGCACAAAGTGAAGGTTGGTTTCCATAAGATCGTTCAGGCTGAGGGTGTTGGTAGCTGCTTCCGGTCCCAGGAGGGTCAGGGTCCCGGTACAATGGCCTCTCCTCCGTTTTTGCCATTTGTATGGTCAGGTGACCTTCTGTGCCGTATAAGATTTGGCCTTTGATAGCGGTGAGTGCCCCAGACAGGGACCCCAGAGCCCCCGTGTGGGACCCCCTAGGTGCAGCATGGATGGAATATGTCCCATTCTAAGCTCCAGCTTAGGAGAGCAGCCAATGGGGACACAATTGGTACCGTAGAACCAGGTGAGCAGCGAGGGCGGCTAATTATCAATGTGCTCTATGAAGTGGGCGTCTATCCAGCCTTCCCATCAGCCTTGCACAGCTGTCCCGGCTCCTCTCCTGAACTGAAATGACTTACTCGGATTTCACTGCACACTGTGAGCCTCTCACCATGTGCATTAGAAGCCATAGAGCCATAGCAAGTCAGACAGAGTCCACGTTATCTCCTGCCATGGAGGACATCCAACATCATCTAGCACTTTCCTCCACAGCCTGATGGTGGCTGGCCCCAAACCTTCATTCATTAGGTTTCAGGTCTTCCAATCACGGAGGCTCAGTGATTTTGTGGGCGTTGCCTAGGGTGTTCTGCATGCAAATGCAGCCAGCCTAGGAACACCCACTCCTCCAGATGTACCCATCAAGGCATTTTGGTATTTGCATAACTCCTCCCAAGAGCCAGCCCACTGCTTGGATCAGAACCCTTGCAAGGAGTACTGAGGCAGGGTGCTCTGATGTTTTCAGGAAGCGATGTACAGTCCCCTGCTGGCCCTCCCCCCAGCCGTGATCTGCTTGAATTGTATAGAGAATCCTAGAGACCTAGTTATATCACCAGGACTAAAATAAGGCATATAATAAAAAAATGATCTATTGTATCAGGGAACTAGAGAATATACCTTTAGCTCAGGAGGATAGGTATAGTTGGGTGTGTAAGCGAGGAGAGGGAGTGTTCATGTGTTATGGCAGTAGGCAGGGCACCTACATGTGGTCTGTACTGCCTATTGGTGACATGGACCGTTCCTGCAGTGAGGAGGCGACATCATGTGACATGTACATCACGGCTCGGTGACCAGAGACAGGCTCTCTAGAAGGGCCTTTAATGGTTTCCGCAGTGGCAGCAGCTAACTTCTCTGGACTTCCCCTTCTCTCTTCCCTATTTCTGCTAGTAAAGTGAACCTCCCTTAAAGTGACACCAAACGCTATCCTTACTCTCTAAATATAATGCAGACATATCCACGGCCTAATGTCCCGGCAGAAGAATTGTGTTTTTTCTGCCTCCTTGTAAACATCCTCCGTGAAATCCTGGACCTTTTCCTCTCCTTTTTTCCCTTTTACTTTCATTTGTAAAGAAAAAAGAAGGTTTTCAGGAAGCTAGGTACAGCACCCTTTTGCCCCCCCCCCCCACCAGCCATGATCTGCTGGCATTGCATAGAAAAGCACAGAGACCCAGTGTTAACATCACTGGGTCAAAAATAAAGTATGTAATGAAACTGGAAAGGTTTTATTTAAAAAAATTTCATTAGGCTGTTGATGGGGAGGAGAAGGACTAGCCAGAGAAAGTGAAATGTAAGCAGATTACACTTACTTTTTTATTTATGGTACTTATATAGTGCTGTCAATTTACACAGTGCTTTACATATATATTGTACATTCACATCAGTCCCTAACCCTCAAGGGGCGTACAATCTAAGGTCCCTAACTTACATTCATATACTAGGGACAATTTAGACAGGAGCCAATGAACCTACCAGCATGTCTTTGGAGTGTGGGAGGAAACTGAAGTACCCGGAGGAAGCCCACGCAGACACAAGGAGAACATGCAAACTCCAGGCAGGTGGTGCCGTGGTTGGGATTTGAACCAATGACCCTAGTACTGCCAGGTGGAAGTGCTAACCATTTAGCCGCTGTGCTGCCCTACTCTTCCATTTTATACAACTGCCAGGCTCTGTAATTTATGTTATGCACATTCAGGAGCTAAAAAACAGTCAGCAGCAACAGTCAGACTCCAGGTGACCTCACATCCCTACTATATAAAATAAAAGTCCTGCACAGTTATAATAATGTATGATTAAGTATTTGAAATGTGTTTAGCAAGCTCAATGGGGCTTTAAAGAATCCGTAAACCCAACATTTCATACTTTATTTATTTATTTCAGGTACTTATATATCGCCGTCAATTTACGCAGTGCTTTACATATATATTGTACATTCACATCAGTCCCTAACCCTCAAGGGGTGTACAATCTAAGGTCCCTAACTCACATTCATATACTAGGGCCAATTTAGACAGGATCCAATTAACCTACCAGCAGGGGCGGACTGACAACTCATGGGGCCCCCGGGCAATAGGGGATCATGGGGCCCCTGTGTCCTTGCCCACACCCAAAAAAAGTCTATGAAAAAGCCAATGAAAGGTACCAGGGGCATCTCATGGGGCCCCCTACTGACCCCAGGCCCTCAGGCAGTGCCCGAGTGCTTAAATGGTCAGTCTGCCCCTGCCTATCTTTGGAATGTGGGAGGAAACCCAGGCAGGCACAGGGAGAACATGCAAACTCCAGGCAGGAGGTGCCATGGCTGGGATTTGAACCAACAACCTTAATACTGCCAGGTGGAAGTGCTAACCATTTAGCCACTGTGCTGCCCTATTCCTGATATGTGCCTGCTGTGCCATGTACTTGTGTGAAAAGTCTCCTGCTCTCTTTGTATTGTATCCTTTGTGTGAAATCCCTGGTGTCCCAGTCGTCTGCTTTCCTATTAAAAAACTGACCACACTAGGCAGGAGAACACAGCGTGGTCAGTTCTCTAGTTTTGCTGGGAACTCAGGCTGCTCTCCTCCAATGATCAGACTTGTCATGACACCAATCCCCCTCCACAGCCTTTTTATTGGGAAGATCAGTGTACTGTCGTTTCTCCTCCTGCAGCTCTCTGAGCTTCTTATGCAGCTGAGAACAGAGGTGATGTGATCACTTATAAAAAAGGAAAATAAAGGTCTTTTTAATGTTTTATATGACTATACACAAATGTTTTGCCTTTTTTGTTTCCATTTTAAACCGAATGGCTTGTTTTACAAGGTAAGGGTTCACATATACTTGAAATATTGTGCTGTAATACAAATCCCCACCTCCAGGGGCAGTAGAAGTTTTTTCCTACAACCGGAGGGGTAGCGGGATGACGTATATAGAGATGTTTCTGATTGTCTCTTGTGATTATGATCTCAGCTCTCTGCCTGTGGGTCAAATCCGATCTCTGCTCATCAGAGGGAGGGGCTCGGCCTGCGGATGGCGTTGAATATTCTATATGATAAAGCCAAGCTCTTACCTCTCCCTCTCTTTATCCCCTCCCCCCACAGTGTGAAGATAAAAATGTGGACGCCTTATGCGAAGCATTACAGACCACGGTGACCCGGTGGTGGAAAGCCAAATTCCCCAATCCCCTCCCCCTGCAGCTCTACACGTCTTCCAATTTCATTGGGCTCTTCGTGAGCGATGAGTGCGCTGAGATTCTGAAGAAATTTGCGGCAGATTTTTCTGAAGAAGCCTTGATCAAAACAGGTGAGGAGTGAATGGTGCCCCATCATTGGTTTGTGTCAATGGAGGCATAGTGCCCATCATTGGTGTCAATGATGGAGGAATAGTGCCCCCATCCATTGGTATCAGTGGGAGGAATAGTGCCCCGTCATTGGTATCAGTAGAATGAATAGTGCCCCATCATTGGTGTCAGTGGGAGGAATAGGTGCCCCATCATTGGTGTCAGTGGGAGGAATAGTCCCCATCATTGGTATCAGTAGAATGAATATTGCCCCCATCATTGGTGTCAGTGGGAGGAATGTGTGCCCCATCATTGTGTCCAGTGGGAGGAATAGTGGCCCCATCATTGGTGTCAGTGGGAGAATAGTGCCCCATCATTGGTGTCAATGGGAGGAATAGTGCCCCATCATTTGGTTATATCAGTGGGAGGAATAGTGCCCCATCATTGGAGTCAATGGGAGGAATAGTGCCCCATCATTGGTGGTCAGTGGGAGGAATAGTGCCCCATCATTGGTATCTGGGAGGAATAGTGTCCCCATCATTGGTATCAGTAGAATGAATAGTGCCCCATCATTGGTGTCAGTGGGAGGAATGGGTGCCCCACATTTGGTGTCATTGGAGGGAATAGTGCCCCATCATTGGTGTCAGTAGAATGAAAGTGCCCCATCATTGGTGTCAGTGGGAGGAATATTAGTGCCCCATCATTGGCTCGTCAGTTAGAATGAAGAAGTGCCCCACCATTTTGGTGTCAGTGGGAAGGAATAGTGCCCCATCATTGGTGTTCAGTGGGGTGAATAGTGCCTCATCATTTGGTGTCAGTGGGAGGAATAGTGCCCCATCATTGAGTTATTAGTGGTAGGAATAGTGCCCCATCATTGGTGTCAGTTGGGAGGAATAGTGCCCCAATCATTGGTGTCAGTGGGAGGAATAGGGCCCCATCATTGGTGTCAGTGGGAGGAATAAGGGCCCCATCATTGAGGTGTCAGTAGAGGAATGTGCCCCATTGTTGGAGTCATTTGGAGGAGTAATTCCCCATCATTGGTATCAGTTGGAGGAATAGTGCCACGCAATTGGTGTCATTGGGAGTAATAGTGCCCCATCATTGGTGTCAGTGGGAGAAATAGTGCCCCATCATTGGTTGTCAGTGGGGGAGGAATAGTGCCCCATCATTGGTGTAGTGGGAGGAATGGTGGTGGCCCCATTGTTGGAGTCATTTGGAGGAGTAATTCCCCATCCTTGGTGTCAGTGGAAGGAATAGAGCCCCATTGTTGGTGTCAGTGGACTGAATAGTGCTTCAAGGGCCCTATATAGGCGAGCAAAAGAACCGCATCTGGCCCCCAGGCCAGTGTTTGGAGACCCCTGCTATTTACTATCTACCTTTTATTGAAAACCCCCAAAAGTTCTGATAAATGAATGGGACGACCCGTATGGTGTTATTGATGGGTGTCTCTGTCCCTTCCCTACATTGCCAGACGTCCGGGTGGAGCCGCACAAGAAGCAGTTACATGTGACTCTGGCATATCACTTCCAGGCCAATCACCTGCCGACCCTGGAAAAGCTGGCCAATAATATCGATGTGAACCTGGGCTGTGATTGGGTGGCTGCCATATTTTCCCGGGACATCCGATACGTCAATCACGAGGTAATGGCTCTGTCCTAATAACAAGATTTATGTCTCCTTTAGGTGACCGCCTCACATGACTATCGGATTGTACAATCTCCTTTCCAGTGGCCATACACACTTCCATATACAGTCTGAGCGTTTACATTTCCTATCGACCTCTTCTGGTGGGCAGTTGATCTATCGTCTACAAACCCATTAGATCGACCGAAAAGTGGATTTCAATTGATACAATTATAACTCACCATTATAAACGATCAATCACATCTCTGTTCCACCACGTAGGCTCATAATCTGATCCATCAGAACACAATCGGATCTCAGTTCTTCCATCAATCTATCATTTTCCCACCCTGTCCAAACATCTCCCGTCACATTGGGTCAGCTGGAAGTGACGTGATGGCTATTCGATGGTTTGCAGATTCCATCGTTTCAATCAAATTGGCCGTCAATCAGATAATAAAATCAAAGTCTTTGTGGTCACCGTCAAGCTCCATGCACACGGGGCGTTTAATAACGCTGGAAACGTTAGCTGCGTAAAGTCACGTTAAAAACGCACATTTTGTAGCTTTTTTTCATTAGTGTTTAGCCGCGTTTTTCCGCGATTGCTGTTTTTTAGCTTTTTTTTTTTGCTCAGAAAAAAGTCCAGAAACGCTGTTTTGCTGCAGTGTTAGAGCATTTTTACAGCTAAAAAACGTCTATAGAAACCCGCTGGGTCTGGGTGGATTTTCCAGCCAAAAAAACATCGATTACAGTCTATGTGTGGATGCTGGGGGGTTTACTGGCTGTAGAAAAAAAGGGCAAAAGACAAAAACAGCTGCTGTAAAAATGCCACGTGTGCACTGAGGACTGAGATCTACCAATATAATATGTAGGTACCAATATAAATGAAATAACTCAAGCGCTTACTGTGGTGCATAAAAAGCAAAAAATACACATATATATCAATATAAATACTGTAGCTGCTAATGCACACAACCCGTGTCTCAGTGGGCAAATAATGAGAAGAAAAAAGAAGAAAAATATACTGCGCTACATCAAACAAACACTCAATACCTGTGAATCAAAAAATGTGAAAAAATTAAAAATCACCCAAAGATACTGCAAAGACGATTTATTCAGCTGGTATCTATCCAGACACCTACACAATAGAGAAAAAATACATATATATATAAATACTGTAGCTGCTAATGCACACAACCCATGTCTCAGAGGGGGAAATAATGAGAAGCAAAGTGAAGAAAAAATATACTGCGCTACATCAAAAAAACACTCAATGTCTGTGAATGAAAAAAATGTGAAAAATCAAAAATCACCCAAACCAAAACAAAGAATAATAATATTAACCACTTGACCTCCAGAGGATTTACCCCCCTTAATGACCAGGCCTCTTTTTGCTACTCGGCGCTGCACTAATTCAACTGATAATTGCGCGGTCATGCAACGCTGCACCCAAACGAAATTTACGTCCTTTTTTTTCACACAAATAGAGCTTTCTTTCAGTTGTATTTGATCACCTGCGCGCTTTTTATTTTTCACGCTATAAACAAAAAAAGGCCAAAAATTTTGAAGAAAAACAATATTTTTTACTTTCAGCTATAAAAAATATATAGTAAACTCAAAGTTGGTTATAAATTTAGGCCAAAATGTATTCTGCTCCATGTTTTTGGTAAAAAAAATCCCAATAAGTGTATATTGATTGCTTTGTGTGGAAGTTATAGCGTCTACAAACTATGGTATAGATACTGCAATTTACGCCATTTTTTTTGCTATACAGCGCTGCGCTAGTTTTAACGAACAATTGCGCGGTCATGCAATACGGTACATAAATGAAATTTACATCTTTTTTTTCCCCACAAATTGAGTTTTCTTTCGGTGGTATTTGATCACCTGTGCTGTTTTTATTTTTTTTGCGCTATAAAAAAAAAGGCTGACAATTTTGAGGAAAAAAAACAATATTTTGGACTTTTTGCTATAAACATGTCCAGTAAAAAAAAAATTTAAAAATCAAATTTAGTCATAAATTTCTGCCAAAATGCATTCTGCGACATGTCTTTGCTAAAAAAAAAAAAAAACAATACGTGTAAATTAATTGGTTTACGTGAAAGTTATAGCGTTTACAAATGGCGGGAAAGATACTGGGATTTTTAGTTTTTTTTTATACTAATAATGGCGGCGATCAGCGACTTATGGCGGCGATCAGGGACTTATGGCGGGACTGCGGTGGACATTCTGATATTGGGGGGTACTGACTTGGGGTCACTGACATCCCCAGTGACACCAATACAGTTATCAGTGCAAAAAAATAAACACTGACATTGTACTAATGGCACTGGGGAGGAAAGGGTTAACTTTATTTTTCAGGGAAGGGTTATCTGTGTGAGGGGAGTGTTTTACTAGGGGGCGGGGGTGTGTGCTGGATGGGACAGGCTGATCAGGAGAGAGAAACTCTTCTGTCCTGATCAGCTTGTCCTCGAGCTGTCAGAGAAGTGACAGACAGCACAGCTATTGTAGCTGTGCTCTCTGTCACTGATTGCCGCCGATCGCCGGGAGATAGCCGGTAAGGACCGGCTGTGACCCGGCGACTGACATCCGCGGTTGTGATCGGAGGGACAGGTAGGGCGGCGGCGCGCCTCGCGCGCGCCCCCTACCTGTTTACAAAACACACGTTTTAAAATGTGGTTTTGCCTGCCCGTGCCGCCCTGCCGCTGTATTTATACAGTGTCTGGGCGGCATGTGGTTAAATCAACCCAAGAAAGTCATTATAAACTCAAGTCCAATCAAAATCATGTTCTTCTGTAAACCCTCCTGTGGATAATAAATATATGTGCAGCTGTCACAAATTCCAGTGAGAAAACCTCGTCCACCATATATCTGCTCGCCTCACGCAGTGTGACCGCACATTGTACAATGTTACTGTCTAACTGCATCCCATTTGGGCTCAGAAGATCAGCTTGTTAAATGGGGACTCCAAAGTACGCTTCCTCCTTCTAAACGTCTTGGTGTCATCCGTATTCCTCATTAAAAAGAACTCACCATAGTGCTTTATCCTTTTAAACTTTTATTAAGCAATAAAACATAGGAAATGCGCTCATGTTCTGGAGGTGCACATCTGCACCACCTATGATGAACATCCGGCAATACATCGATTAAGCACAAGATGGCAGTATCATCTGAACAGCAGAGTCCTGTATGAGCTCAGAAAACTGTCACCATACGGAGTGTAATTCAAGGCAAAGCACGGCCCTTCTCTGTGAATGCAATTGCCTGCTAGAATGTCGTTCCCGGATCGGTTTCACGAATACTACAACCGCTGTCCCAATAAATGGAAACGTTGTGACGTCATGCATACGCTCCTACTGACGCGTTTCATCACTAGTCACATTACTTCATCCAGTAGATATCATATCACCTTGATAGTTTCACAAATACTACAACCTCTGTCTCAATGAATGGGAACGCCGTGACATCATCCATACGCTCCTACTGACGCGTTTCGTCACTAGTCGCATTACTTCATCCTATCCCCTTGATAGTTTCTCAAATACAACCTCTGTCCCAATGAATGGGAACATCGTGATGTCATCCGTACACTCCTACTGACGCGTTTCATCACTAGTCACATTACTTCATCACATCCCCGTGATAGTTTCGCAAATACTACAACCTCTGTCCCGATGAATAGGAACGTTGTGACGTCATCCATACGCTCCAGCTGACGCGTTTCATCACTAGTCGCATTACTTTATCCTATCCCCTTGATAGTTTCTCAAATTCAACCTCTGTCCCAATGAATGGGAACATCGTGACATCATCCGTACGCTCCTACTGACGCGTTTCGTCACTAGTCGCATTACTTCATCCTATCCCCTTGATAGTTTTCTCAAATACAACCTCTGTCCCAATGAATGGGAACATCGTGACTTCATCCGTACACTCCTACTGACGCGTTTCATCACTAGTCACATTACTTCATCAATCACATCCCCGTGATAGTTTTCATACAACCTCTGTCCCAATGAATGGGAAATGTGTGACATCATCCCCGTACGCTCCTACTGACGCATTTCGTCACTAGTCACATGACTTCATCATATCCCCTTGATTATTTCACAAATACTACACCTCTTTCCCAATAAATGGGAATGTCAACATAGTGCTTTATCCTTTTAAACTTTTATTAAGCAATAAAATATGGGAAATGCACTCACGTTCTGGAGGTACATATCTGCACCACCTATGATGAACATCCGGCAATACATCGATTAGGCACAAGATGGCAGTATCATCTGAACAGCAGAGTCCTGTATGAGCTCAGAAAACCGTCACCATGTGGAATGTAATCATATAAAAATGCAGCGCTGAAAGGAAAAAAAATATATCTAACGTGGGCGCTTAATAGCACTATAGGTGTTCAGTAGGTATAAGGTGAACCGTCATGTGATGACGTATAAGCAAGTGATAATAAATAAATATAAAGTGACTTTACTGTATGATGAAAAATGACATAAAATCAGCAGAATAAATAAAGTCCAAAATTCAAGTGATCCGTGTTGGTGAAATCAGTGATTGAAACCGGTAATATGATTGCACTCACCAGAAGCGCAAAATTAAAGCGCATGTATATATATTATCCCATTGTGGTCATCTGGGTACAGGTAAGGATGGTGGAACCCTCTGGCACACAGTCAGCATACAAGGCAACTCCAGACCTCTCTCACAGGACCCTCTCAGCATTCAGTTACAGCTCCAGGGAAACCTCAGACCACCGGATAAACAGCTCAGAAAAGAAAGGATCTCTCCAGCTTGGAGGCTCGTTAATGACAAGCCAAAAACAATAAGGTGCTAATAGTGTAGTAATTTTATTGAAAATAGGGAGTACAGTGAATTAGCAGAGCAAAACCTTTTGGGAACGTCGTGACATCATCTGTACGCTCCTACTGACTAGTCACATTACTACATCAAGGAGATATCATATCCCCTTGATAGTTTCACAAATACTACAACCTCTGTCCCGATGAATGGGAACGTCAGCATAGTGCTTTATCCTTTTAAACTTTTATTAAGCAATAAAACATAGGAAATGCGCTCACAATCTGGAGGTGCACACCTGCACCACCTATGATGAACATCTGGCAATACATCGATTAGGCACAAGATGGCAGTATCATCTGAACAGCAGAGTCCTGTATGAGCTCAGAAAACTGTCACCATGTGGAATGTAATGCAAGGCAAAGCACGGCCCTTCTCTGTGAATGCCATTGCCTGCTAGAATGTCGTTCCTGGATCGGTTTCACAAATACTACAACCGCTGTCCCGATGAATGGAAACGTGATGTCATCCGTACGCTCCTACTGACGCGTTTTGTCACTATTCACATTACTACATCAAGGAGATATCATATCCCCATGATAGTTTCACAAATACTACAACCTCTGTCCCGATGAATGGGAACGTCAGCATAGAGCTCTATCCTTTTAAACCTTTATTAAGCAATAAAACATAGGAAATGCACTCACGTTCTGGAGGTGCACACCTGCACCACCTATGATGAACATCTGGCAATACATCGATTAGGCACAAGATGGCAGTATCATCTGAACAGCAGAGTCCTGTATGAGCTCAGAAAACCGTCACCATATGGAATATAATACAAGGCAAAGCACGGCCCTTCTCTGTAAATGCAATTGCCTGCTAGAATGTCGTTCCTGGATCGGTTTCACAAATACTACAACTGCTGTCCCGATGAATGGAAATGTTGTGACCTCATGCATATGCTCCTACTGACGCGTTTCGTCACTAGTCACATTACTTCATCCAGGAGATATCATATCCCCGTGATAGTGTCACAAATACTACAACCTCTGTCCCGATTAATGGGAACGTCAGCATAGAGCTCTATCCTTTTAAACCTTTATTAAGCAATAAAACATAGGAAATACGCTCACGTTCTGGAGGTGCACATTCACCGGCATTCAGTGTTTTCTTGATGTAGCGCAGTATATTTTTCTTCACTTTTCTTCTCTATTGTATAGGTGTCTGGATAGATACCAGCTGAATAAATTGTCCTTGCAGGCCCTTACATTACATAGGTGTGATCAATCCAAATCTGGACATACACTATGCAATCTGATTGTACCATCACTGGTACCCTAACTATGTGATATGAGGACAATGTGCTCTGTTAGTATTGATTAGTATGGGAATCATAAATCTAAAGGAATTTAAACCCAAAGGAGATTGTATAGCGTTTTGTGATGGCCAAACACACTACAATCTGATTGTACAATTCCTGTACAATCTCTTTGTAATAGGAGGACAAGCTAAAACCTAAATACATTCCATTTGTATCCAGTCATGCAAGCCCCTACATAGTTGTTGGTGGATCTAAAGGAGATTGTACAATCAGATTGTATAGTGTATGATCAGCTGTCAGAAGATGGGACAATCAGATTGTATAGTGTATGGTCAGCTTTCAGGAGATTGTACATCAGATTGTATAATGTATGGTCAGATTTCAGGAGATTGTATAATCAGATTGTACAGTGTATGGTCAGCTGTCAGGAGATTGGATAATCAGATTGTATAGTGTATGGTCAGATTTCAAGAGATTGTACAATCAGATTGTATAGTGTATGGTCAGATTTCAAGAGATGGTACAATCAGATTGTCACGTGTGTAACAAATTCTACTGCCTCCATGCCTACAACATGAGAAGTACTAGTAAATGTGGGGAGAAAGTCATATGACTATGGGGCACCAGGGCGCTCTCTCCAGCACTGTCCCCTAACACCCGATAAGTACGGTAACCTGTTTCCTATGTCTGTGTCCCCCTCAGACCCTGCAGGTCTTGTACCCCTATATACCACAAAACGATGACGAGCTGGAGCTGGTCCCCGGGGATTTCATCTTCATGTCGCCGGTGGAACAGACCAACACCAGTGAAGGCTGGCTGTACGGGTCCTCGCTGGCTACCGGCTGCTCCGGCCTCCTACCGGAAAACTACGTCACGAAATCAGACGAGTGCGGCACCTGGGTGTTTCATGGGTGAGTGTCCATGTGGGGGCGCCCCTGAACCTGGTGGGACCTGGATGATGGATGTGTGGGCGGAGTCCTGGACCCAAAGTATGGAGGGGAGGGATATAGATCCAAATTTTAGCTGCAGCCGGAATATCCCTGGGGGTCCCCGGAGTGGACTACAAACAGTCCAGAAAATCGTTATTGCACAGGAAGGTCAGAGGAGGACTCCAACGCATTTCAGGAGCTGAAGTTCAGGCCCCTCCTTCCCCCACAGCATTCTGGGACACTTCACGGGTCCCAGAGGACTGCGGGACCAATCACAGGGCGCAGCAAGAAGGAGGCTGTGAAGCCCCAACTCTTCCCTTCCCTTACTGAAGATGCCGGCACCTGCATCTGAAGGCGATGGAAGAATCGGCTCGGGGTGAGGACATCGCTGGACCCCGGGACAGGTAAGTGTCCTATATTAATAGTCAGCAGCTCTAGTGTTTGTAGTGGATGACTTTTCATTTTTTGGGGGGACAGCCTGAAGGTCTGCTGTAAAGTCACAACGACTTTCTAAAGGTCCCCGCACTACTTTGGTGCAACTTTCATGTAATTTCCCTGCGTTATCTGCATGGAGTTTGTATCTTGGTCATGAGCCTTTCCTCAAAGTTGTCTGGGCTCCTCCCACATATGAAAACCCCCAGAGATAGCTTGATTGTCATGTGATGAACTTTGTCCCAAACTTTTATGACCGATCCTAGGCTGGGGGGGGGGGGGGGGGGGGGACTCGGGCACAGAGACAATTTTTGAATACTGCACGAGAAACGGCCATATTGCTTTTTAGTGTGTCCAGAGAATTAGTTGGAACCCCAATCCTACAGAATTCTGTTTTAGCTCCCTTCGTGTCATCATTCCACCTCCACTCATCTCCAGGGATCAGCTCGCTCCATCAGCAACCATTACAAACACTGCCACCACCTGCCTGATCTGCAGTTTGTGTGTGTGTATGTATGTATGTGTGTGTGTGTGTATGTATGTATGTGTGTGTATGTGTGTGTATGTATGTGTGTGTGTTTGTATGTGTGTGTATGTTTGTGTATGTGTGTATGTGTATGTATGTGTGTGTGTGTATGTATGTGTGTGTATGTATATGTGTGTATGTGTATGTATGTGTGTGTGTGTGTATGTATGTATGTGTGTATGTATGTGTGTTTGTGTGTATGTGTATGTATGTGTGTGTGTGTGTATGTGTGTGTATGTGTGTATGTGTGTGTGTGTATGTGTTGTTGTGTGTATGTGTGTGTGTGTGTATGTGTGTGTGTGTGTGTATGTATGTGTGTATGTATGTGTGTATGTATGTGTATGCATGTGTGTGTTTATGTGTTTGTATGATGTGTGTGTGTGTGCCTCCTTAACACATCAGATGCCCCCTCTTTTTCTCTCAGCGATGGGCTGTTGGATAGACGAGTGCCGGATGACCAGGGCCTGGTGGACACGGCTTCCCTCACCATTATCTGCCAGCCCATGCAGGTGAGTGTTGCCATCCATCCGCCCAGCATGGGCTCTTCTGGAAGTGAAAATGTTCTCATGATCAGAAAATCTGACTCATTGCTCATGTGTGAGAGATAACTCGGCTCAGTGAACTGTTACCCCTGCTAAACTGTTATATGAGCACTGGAACTGTCTGCCCACCAATATGTAAACATGGCTGCTTGGGATAGGTTCTGACCACAGTGAGTGATAGGATGAACACCTGTATCTTAGGGAGAGTGTGGCCCTTTGCTTCCCATTATCCGGCCCTTAGGGCACTATTTCTCCCACTGATACAAGTTGCTATTCCTCCCACCAATGATGGGACACTTTCTCCCTCTGACACCAATGATGGGACATTCTTCTTTCCATTGATACCAAAGATGGGGCACTATTCCTCCCACTGACACCAATAATGGGGCACTATTCCTCCCACTGACACCAATAATGGGGCACTATTCCTCCCACTGTCACCAATGATGGGGCACTATTCCTCCTATTGACACCAATGATGGGGCACTAATCCACCCACTGACACCAATAATGGGGCACTATTCCTCCCACTGACACTATTCCTCCACTGACACCAATAATGTGGCACTATTCCTCCACTGACACCAATAATGTGGGGCACTAATCCACCCACTGACACCAATGATGGGGCACTATTCCTCCCACTGAAACCAATGATGGGCACTAATCCACCCACTGACACCAATAATGGGGCACTATTCCTCCCACTGACACCAATAATGGGGCACTATTTCTCCCACTGACACCAATGATGGGGCACTATTCCTCCCATTGACACCAATGATGGGACACTAATCCACCCACTGACACCAATAATGGGGCACTATTCCTCCCACTGACACCAATAATGTGGCACTATTCCTCCACTGACACCAATGATGGGGCACTAATCCACCCACTGACACCAATAATGGGGCACTATTCCTCCCACTGACACCAATAATGGGGCACTATTCCTCCCACTGACACCAATGATGGGGCACTAATCCACCCACTGACACCAATAATGGGTCACTATTCCTCCCACTGACACCAATGAAAGGGCACCATTTATTTATTTTATTACAGGTACTTACATAGCAGAGCCATACAAAGCAGTGTGCTTACAGTGAAGCACAATAATGGGGCACTATTCCTCCCACTGATCAGAATAATGGGGCACTATTCCACCCACTGACACCAATGATGGGACACTTTCTCCCTCTGGCACAATGATGGGGCATTCTTTCTTCCACTGATACCAATGATGGGGCAGTATTCCACCTACTGACACCAATGAAAGGGCACTATTTATTTATTTTATTACAGGTACTTACATAGCAGAGCCATACAAAGCAGAGTGCTTACAGTGGAGCACAATAATGGGGCATTATTCCACCCACTGACACCAATAATGGGGCACTATTCCACCCACTGACACCAATGATGGGAAACTTTCTCCCTCTGACACCAATGATGGAACACTATTCCTCCCACTGACACCAATTATGGGGTACTATTCCTCCCACTGACACCAATAATGGGGTACTATTCCACCCACTGACACCAATGATGGGGCACTAGTCCACCTACTGACACCAATAATGGGGCACTATTCCACTAACTGACACCAATAATGGGGCATTATTCTACCCACTGACACCAGTGATGGGGCACTATTCCTCCCACTGATACCAATGATGGGGCACTATTCCTCCCACTGACACCAATGATGGGGCACTATTCCACCCACTGACACCAATGATGGGAAACTTTCTCCCTCTGACACCAATGATGGGGCACTATTCCTCCCACTGACACCAATAATGGGGTACTATTCCACCCACTGACACCAATAAAAAGGCACTATTTAATTATTTTATTACAGGTACTTACATAGCAGAGCCATACAAAGCAGTGTGCTTACAGTGAAACACACACACAACCCACAGTGAAACAGTACACAGTTAACCCTTTGATCGCCCAGATGTTAACCCCTTCCTGCCCAGTGCCATTAGTACAGTGTCAGTGCTTTTTATTAGCACTGATCACTATTAGTGTCACTGGGGATGTCAGTGACACCAAGTCAGTTCCCCCCAGTGTCAGAATGCCCACCACAGTCCCGCTATAAGTCGCTGATCGCCGCCATTACTAGTTTAAAAAAAAAAATTCCAGTATCTATACAGCCATTTCTAAACGCCATAACTTTCACGTAAACCAATTAATTTACAAGTATTGGGATTTTTTATAGCAGACACGGAGCACAATACATTTTGGCCTAAATTTATGACGAAATTTGATTTTTTAAATTTTTTTACTGGACATGTTTAATAGCAAAAAGTCACAAATATTGTTTTTCTCTCAAAATTGTCGGTCTATAGCACAAAAAAATAAATAACGCACAGGCGATCAGATACCACCAAAATAAAGCTCTATTTGTGTCAGAAAAAAATATGTAAATTTCATTTGAGTGCAGCGTTGCATGACCGTGCAATTGTCATTTAAAATAACGCAACAAATGGCCTGGTCAGGAAGGGGTGTAAATCCTCAGGAGGGCAAGTAGTTAAGGGCTTATTTGCCTTTGAACAAGCCATTTGTAGAAGTCTGCTCCACCAATAAATACATGTGAAACCAGCGGATGATGACCTCACGGGTTCAGAATGAACTACTAACTGGAAGTGACCCCCCCAGGCTCTTCTCCCACTTCTGCTTCTCTTTTATCATCATCAGAAAATGGAAAGTATCAGCTTTTTGCTGCGCCTTTATCCGGCGGCACTGGTCACCATGTCATCCATCATGCTAAGTCCCGGTCCTGTTCAGGGTCATGCGTCTCCCCTGATTTTGCCACATTGCAGCAGCTGGAAGATTTATAAATGTGAATTGTACAGCCCATTGCTGAGACTCTGCGGAATCCACTGGCCCTGCTCTGGTTTATGGCTGCTTGCTGCCATCTAGTGACCATTTTTTGGCTTTGCAGCATGTCTGATATTAAAGGCCAACTCCAGGCAAAACCTTGATTTATTAGTATGGGATGGACCTCCTATGGGTTTTTATTGCTGTCTGTGGCCCAGTTTGGGAGATTTCCCAGTTTTTCTTCTTCTGGTGACCATATGGCATTAAGGGATAATCTCCCCAACAGGGATGCAGATGACAATGACAGACAGACAACCAACTTTAAAGCTGTGACATGAAAATAGGGTGTGCAGCGCTATATAAATAAAACACACTATCTAAAGTATGACAAAATATGACAGAAATGGAAAAATCCCATAAACTGGATGTTAAACAATCCAAGGTAATATGATATCAGTCCAAAAAGGTATATTCCAGTGATGGAGTATAAATGACTTCAATCCAAATGGGTATATTCCAGCATCCTAACATGAAGGTGTAGAAAAATTGCCCACTCACCGGAAGTGCAATTTAATATGCACATAGAAATTCCATGAAGCCGGAGGTCCAATGAAGGTATAGCCTGATGATAAAGGTGCCCTCTGGTGGTGGATAGGGTGACGGCTGCCAGAGAAGTTGATCTGGACCAATTTCCCAAATTGTCCTGCCTGGGTGGACTCCTAGAATGCTGGGCTGAGATGTGGAGGCTCAGTGCCAGGTAGTAGAGATGAGAACGCTCATAGTGTAGTATTATAAAAAGTATTTATTGAGTATATATCATTAAGATAAAACAGTAAACGTACAGGGTTAGAGTACCTATACAGGTATAGTGTAAATGAGCTCTTTAAATACACTGACCAGTGAAATATAAATGATGGCCACCGGACCTCCTGATCCGGTGACGTAACGTCAAGGCGTGCAGAGGTTCCTCCTAGACGCGCTTCGTGTAATAACACGTCTCCTGTAGGGGTGATGCCAAGATGGTCAGGAGGAGGTCCGGTGGCCATCATTTATATTCACTGGTCAGTGTATTTAAAGAGCTCATTTACACTATACCTGTATAGGTACTCCAACCCTGTACGTTTACTGTTTTATCTTAATGATATATACTCAATAAATACTTTTTACAATACTACACTATGAGCGTTCTCATCTCTACTACCTGGCACTGAGCCTCCACATCTCAGCCCAGCATTCTAGGAGTCCACCCAGGCAGGACAATTTGGGAAATTGGTCCAGATCAACTTCTCTGGCAGCCGTCACCCTATCCACCACCAGAGGGCACCTTTATCATCAGGCTATACCTTCATAGGACCTCCGGCTTCATGGAATTTCTATGTGCACATTAAATTGCACTTCCGGTGAGTGGGCAATTTTTCTACACCTTCATGTTAGGATGCTGGAATATACCCATTTGGATTGAAGTCATTTATACTCCATCACTGGAATATACTTTTTTGGACTGATATTATATTACCTTGGATTGTTTAACATCCAGTTTAAGGGATTTTTCCATTTCTGTCATATTTTGTCATACTTTAGATAGTGTGTTTTATTTATATAGCGCTGCACACCCTATTTTCATGTCATATTCTTAGAAAGGCTTTGTGGTTCCTTTTTGTGCATCAGCAGCTTTTTATTGGTGCGCTCGCTAAACTCACACATTTAAACTTTAAAGCTGTGTTAAACCAAAAACGGTTATTGTCATATATTGCAGCTTACCCAACATTAGATGTGGTGGCTGCATTCGTTTTCTTTTTTTTTAGGCATTTTTCCCTCTGTTCTCACCTGGTGATTTGGCCAGTAACACACCTCCTGTATTAGAGCGCCCCCACTCTGAATGAAGGAGCACAGGGGACGTGTTTAGTCGGCAGCATTGTCAGTCTGGGGGAGTGTTGGATGTAATAATAGATTTGGATACGCTAACAAACTGGAGCCAAACACCAGACAATACTTTATACCAAAAGAAAAAAAACTGTTTGCTGCAAATGATTATAAAGGCTATATATGAATAAAAGCTGGTCATTGCAAGCACCCCTGTCAGTTGTAAATGGTTTGTCTCATCTTTGTAACTGACACATTATACATTCTTCTAGAGAGCTTGTTCTTCTGCGAAAAAAAAAATACTGGCTGGATCACCAGATGAAAATAGAAAAAAAAAGAAAACTAATGCAGCCATCACATGTAAGAATTGGCTCCAGTTTGTTAGTGTATCCAGATTACCAAACGCCAGACAATACTTTATAATTATTTACAGCCGTTTTCTTTTCTTTTGGGTATAAAGGCTATATATGAATAACAACTGGTCATTGCAAGCACCCCTGTCAGTTGTAAATGGTTTGTCTCATCTTTGTAACTGATACATTATACATTCTGCTGGAGAGCTTGTTCTTATGTGAAAAAAGAATACTGTCTGGATCACCAGCTAAAAATAGAAGAAAACTAATGCAGCCATCACATCTAAGAATTGGTCATTTGGGTACACTAACTAACAAACTAGAGCCAAACTCCAGCCAGTACTTTATAATTATTTACAGCAAACAGTTTGCTATATATGAATAAGAGCCGATCATTGCAAGCACCCCTGTCAGTTATAAATGGTTTGTCTCATCTTTGTAACTGATACATTCTGCTGAAGAGCGTGTTCTTTTGAAAAAAAAAAAATACTGGCTGGATCACCGGATTAAAATCGAAGAAAAAAATAAAACTAATGCAGCTATCACATCTAAGAATTGGTAAGCTGCAATATAATACTGTAAATGTTTGCTTTTGGGTTTAATACTACTTTCATTTTTCTCTTTCCCCCCCCCCCCCCCCAAAAAAAAAAAATGCACGCTTGGAATGATGTAAGATTAGGTGATTCCATCTATCTGACTTGCTGTTTTATGAATCATGGAGCTATAAATATCAGTACCACTAGACAACCTGGGGCAAAATGTTTAATTTTTATTAAAGGCACACTACAGACAAGTACAGTGTCTTTCACATTCAGGGAAATCACATTTGCCCAATAAGTAAGGCTATGTGCCCAGAGCCAGTTTAAAGTACACTCCCAGTCATTTAAATCTACAGCTTTTCATTAAAATAATGATGATCCTGCCATGAAGGTCCTTTTTTTCAGGCACTTCCTGCTGTGGGGTGACAACACTCTGTCCCTGTATCCCTTTTGTGCTCCTGTGTTGTTACCCTATTTAATGGGCTTCCAAGGGTGAGTACAAATGGCTGTTAGTGTTTGATTTGTTTCTTAACTTCTTGCTGCCAGCCATACATATGTGTGGCGCTTTCTAGAGGTGGCCCTTATTCCTCACTGCCACATATACATGTCGCTGTGTTGTGCTGGGAGTGTGCTGAATCGGGTGCCTCCCGCACAGTGACCGCACTGCTGCCAACAGTTCGTGGTCGCAAATGCTTCCTACATGGCCCAAATTAACTCCTTACCTCTTCATGGGCTCTTTAAGAGTTTTAAACACCAAGGGTGTTATATGGGCTTCCTGATCATGTGATCACTGTGATTGAAGATCAGAAACCAGCAGGATCAGCCCCATTCTTGGTCAAACTGTGACTGGGAGCTGTCAATGACAATGCGGTCACAGATCGCACTCAGCCATGTTGGGCCAATCACAAGGATCACATGATCAGGAAGCCCAAGTATTGCCTCCAGTGTTACAAGCTCTTAAAGGGTCAGCAATAAGGGGGTTAATCTGAGTAAGGTAGGAAGCAATATTATTGTGCCAGAAATAGATTTCTCCTTTCACCTTGTAGCTACCAGTTTGTTGGCACATTACTAGAACAAGTATTGATTACATTATGGCTTGTTCTTGGTCCCTTCCTCAGCCACTGCGGATTAACTCACATGCGGGCCCCAGGAAGCGCTGTCTCTTTGTGTGTCGCCATGGCGAGCGGATGGACGTGGTGTTCGGGAAATACTGGCTGTCACAGTGCTTTGATGCAAAAGGTGCGTAAATATTCTATATTTAAAGAGCCCTATAGAGTGTATCTATGACAGATTGTCACAGGGTTCACAGACAGCAGGAAGGACCTGGCAGGGCAATAAAGCTGGCATTGCTAATTAAGACGACAACAGGAGGGCACCCCACTGTAAAGCCAGCCATAGATGGCTTGAACCTTGGCTGGTTCAACAGGGACTGACCAAGATTCGATCCATCTATGTTCAGGCTGGTTGTACTAAAGTTGATCCATTGGAAATTGTACTCTTTGTAATAAAATAAAAATATGTAAAATACGTGTGCAAAATGTGACAATGCATTAAAGTGTTTGTTCACCAATGCCAGAAGTCTGCCAAGCAAAATAGGTGAGTTGGAAGCTTTGGTGCATGAAGAGAACTATGATTTAATTGGTATTGCTGAATCTTGGCTTCATTCTTCACATGACTGGGCCATTAATATTCCTGGCTATGTTCTCTTTCGGAGAGACAGAGTAAATAGGAAAGGTGGTGGTGTCTGTCTCTATGCGAGAAGTGATCTCAGAGCGAGTGTGAAAGAGGACCTAGTGGATGGAGAGTGTGATGAGGCTTAAGCATTATGGGTGGAACTGCACATGGGGGTGCGTACTACAAAGGTAATCATTGGAGTTTGTTATAGGCCTCCCATTGTTACTGAGGAGGTGGAGACTCAGCTCCTTGCACAGACAGAAATGCCTGCAAGGGCAGGGACAGTGATAATAATAGGGGATTTTATATACACTTAAATTGACTGGGGTAATAACATTGCTGGAACAGTTATATGGCAAACATTTATAAAAATACTACAAGACACTTTTATGGTACAGTTCATAGAGGCCCCAACTAGAAATGATGCTCTGCTGGACCTGGTAATCTGAAATAATACAATGCAAATAATTACTAATGTTCATATACAAGAACATCTTGGTAGCAGTGACCATAACATGATTTCATTTATTGCTACCTGTAAAAAATAAACGCATCCTGGAAAGATATAAAAACACTTAACTTTAAGAGAGCAAATATTCCAAGGATGAGGGCTGCTTTCCAAGACTTAAACTGGGAGGGAATATTGGCATCAATGAACACAGAACAGAAATGGGAATTCTTCAAAAAGACTGTATGCATCATTTCTGCAACAATTCAAAACGAGCTACAGATTACATAAGATAGTAAGACAAACCCCCCAACATTTTTCAAATATATTATTAGTAAAAATAAGTCAGGTTTGAGCATGTAAGTCCTTTATAAAATAATCTAGAGTGGGTGACTTGGGACAAAGAGAAGACAAATGTATTAAATACTTTCTTCAGCTCTGTGTATATAAAGGAGCATGGGGGAGCTGTTGTCCATAATGGGCATGGTATTGACACAGCCCCAAATGATCCACAATGGCGCAAAAATGATATGATCCAGAAATATTTAGACAGAAAGGTGAATAAAGCACTTGGACCGGATGGCATACACCCACGTTTCCCAAAAGAACTCAGCACTATCATTTCAAAGCCATTGTTTCTAATATTTAGAGACTCTTTAATGACTGGCATAGTACCACTGGATTGGCGTAAGGACAATGTGGTTCCAATATTTTAAAAGGGATCAAAGTCCTTACCAAGTAATTATAGATCTGTTAGTTTACCTTCTATAGTTGGGAAGATACTGGAGAGTTTAATAAAAGACCACATAGATGAGTTCTTGCTGGAAAATAATGTTTTAGGTAACAAACACCATGGATTCATGAATGAGAGAAGTTGTCAAACAAATCTGATTGCTTTTTATGAGGGGGTGAGCAAAACCTTGGACAGAGAGGTGGCGGTGGATGTGGTATACTTGGACAGAGAGGTGGGGTTGGACGTGGTATACTTGGACAGAGGGGTGGCGGTGGATGTGGTATACATGGACAGAGAGGTGGCGGTGGACGCGATATACCTGGACAGAGGGGTGGCAGTGGACGTGGTATACTTGGACAGAGGGGTGACAGTGGATGTGGTATACTTAGACAGTGGGGTGGTGGTGGACATGGTATACTTGGACAGAGGGGTGGCGGTGGACATGGTATACTTGGACAGAGGGGTGGCGGTGGATGTGGTATACTTGGACAGAGGGGTGGCGGTGGACATGGTATACTTGGACAGAGGGGTGGCGGTGGATGTGGTATACTTGGACAGAGGGGTGGATGTGGTATACTTGGACAGAGGGGTGGATGTGGTATACATGGACAGAGAGATGGTGGTGGACGTGGTATACTTGGACAGAGGGGTGGCTGTGGATGTGGTATACTTGGACAGAGGGGTGGCTGTGGACGTGGTATACTTGGACAGAGGGGTGGTGGTGGACATGGCATACTTGGACAGAGGGGTGGCTGTGGACATGGTATACTTGGACAGAGGGGTGGCTGTGGACGTGGTATACTTGGACAGAGGGGTGGTGGTGGACATGGTATACTTGGACAGAGGGGTGGCGGGGGACATGGTATACTTAGACAGAGGGGGGTGGTGGACTTAGTATACTTGGACAGAGGGGTGGTGGTGGACATGGTATACTTGGACAGAGGGGTGGTGGTGGACATGGTATACTTGGACAGAGGGGGGTGGTGGACCTAGTATACTTGGACAGAGGGGTGGTGGTGGACATGGTATACTTGGACAGAGGGTTGGCTGTGGACGTAGTATACTTGGACAGAAGGGTGGCTGTGGACATGGCATACTTGGACAGAGGGGGTGGTGGTGGATGTGGTATACTTGGACAGAAGGGTGGCTGTGGACGTGGTATACTTGGACAGAGGGGTGGCTGTGGACATAGTATACTTGGACAGAGGGGTGGCGGTGGATGTGGTATACTTGGACAGAGGGGTGGCGGTGGATGTGGTATACTTGGACAGAGGGGGGTGGTGGTGGACGTGGTATACTTGGACAGAGAGGTGGACGTGGTATACTTGGACAGAGGGGTGGCGGTGAACGTGGTATACTTGGACAGAGGGGTGGTGGTGGACGTGGTATACTTGGACAGAGGGGTGGCGTTGGACGTGTTATTCTTGGACAGAGGGGTGGCGGTGGATGTGGTATTCTTGGAAGAGAGGGGTGGTGGCGGTGGACGTGGTATTCTTGGACAGAGGGGTGGGGGGACGTGGTATACTTGGACAGAGAGGTGGACGTGGTATACTTGGACAGAGGGGTGGTGGTGGTATACTTGGACAGAGGGTGGTGGTGGACGTGGTATACTTGGACAGAGGGGTGGCGTTGGACGTGTTATTCTTGGAAAGATGGGTGGCGGTGGACGTGGTATTCTTGGACAGAGGGGTGGCGGTGGAAGTGGTATACTTGGATTTTGCAAAAGCATTTGACACAGTTCCCCACACACGGCTAATGGAGACCGCTGATTTAGGGGATGTTTTATATTGGTGTAATAGGGTTGTGTTATTTTTAAGAAAATAAATGTCAAGGATTCAGCATACAATGTTGCAGTGTGACAGTTTTGAGCAGTCCATGCTCTTTAAGCCCCATTCACACTGGGCGTTTAGGTGCAGGTGGTGGGCACAGCCCCGATGCTGGCAGCCTGTCAAACTCTATGAGAAACTGACAGCTGCTGCGGCTGAATGGTGCACCTAGCGGTACTTACTTTTACGGCTGTATGCTCCTAAAGAGGAATGTCCAAAATGTAGACTGCTTGTCCTCTAAATGCATATAAATGCAGGTTTGACAGTTCTAGTGTGAATTGAGCCTAAAACTGCGTGTAACAGGGGCAGACTGACAACTCATGGGGCCCCCGGGCAATAGGGGATCATGGGGCCCCTGTGTCCTTGCCCAAACTCAAAAAAGCCTATAAAAAAGGTACCAGGGGCATCTCATGGGGCCCCCTACTGACCCCAGGATGGGGCTGATTTGTTTCATCTCTGTGTATCACCTGAGGCCAGGCACTTCACTGGGTATATGTAAAGGTTTACACGCCAGGGGCGGACTGACCATTTGGAAATTCGGGCACTGCCCGAGGGCCCAGGGTCAGTAGGGGGTCAGTCTCCAAACTGTGGCCCTTTGCTTGCCTTTATCCACCCTTTGGGGCACTATTCCTCTCACTGACACCAAAAGATAGCAATGTTTATTCCTACCAACACCATGACATTTTCTACTCCCAAAGGCCACAGTCCAGCCTTCCTAAAGTCTGAAGGACAGTAAACTGGCCCTTTGTTCACATACACAGTAGATATGAAAAGTCTACACACCCCTGTTAAAATGTCAGGTTTCTGTGATGTAAAAAAATTAGATAAAAATAAATAATTTCAGAACTTTTTCCACCTTTAATGTGACCTATAAACTGTACAACTCAGTTGAACAACAAACTGAAATCTTTTAGGTGGAGGGAAGTCTTGCCACTCTACCCCATATGAACCAAATGCAATATCTCCTGCGCTCCGGGACCCAGGCCGGTGGTAAGTAGATGGAATCAAACTCCAAAAAGGAAGGGACCACCGGAATAGACAAGGTCGTGCAGCTCCACATCAAGGCTGGGGAAGCCCAAACAAAACTGTGAAGGAGAACAACAAAAGAGAAGCGCACCAACCTTGCGCATTACCTCAGTAACCAAAAATTTATTATTGAATAAAAGAATGGTACTCACAAACAGCGAATAAAACAAGCATGTAAGTCCTCAAGGGGACTTTAGAGGCAAGATGCCAATGCGAATCCCGTCATGGAGGAAGCCACTCAGTACAGCTGACGCGTTTCGAAGGACGTGCCTTCTTCCTCAGAGCAGCTCTGAGGAAGAAGGCACGTCCTTCGAAACGCGTCAGCTGTACTGAGTGGCTTCCTCCATGACGGGATTCGCATTGGCATCTTGCCTCTAAAGTCCCCTTGAGGACTTACATGCTTGTTTTTATTCGCTGTTTGTGAGTACCATTCTTTTATTCAATAAATTTTTGGTTACTGAGGTAATGCGCAAGGTTGGTGCGCTTCTCTTTTGTTGTTCTACTCTACCCCATATCCCAGACCTATGAAGAATACAGGAGATTGTTGTCACATGTACCACACAGCCAGTACTTGCCAGATATTCCTGCAGCTCCTTTAATGTTAGCAGCCTCCCGGACCAGTTTTCTTCTCGTCTTGTTTTTTCATCCATTTTGGAGGGACGTCCAGTTCTTGGTAATGTCACTGTTGCGCCATATTTTCTCTACTGCATGTTGGCAGTATTCACTGTGTTCCATGGTGTATCCAATGCCTTGGAAATTCTTTTATACCCTTCTCCTGACTGATACCTTTTAACAATGAGATCCCTCTGATGCTTTGGAAGCTCTCTGCAGACCATGGCTTTTGCTGTACGATGCGACTAAGAAAATGTCAGGAAAGACCTACTAGAACAGCTGAACTTTATTTCAATCAGAGGCACTTTAAATGATGGCAGGTGTGTACTGACTGCTATTTAACATGATTGTGAATGTGATTGCTTAATTCTGAACACAGCTACATCCCCAGTTATAAGAGGGTGTGCACACTTATGCAACCACATTGTTTTAGTTTTTTATGTTTACTCTTCCCCCCCAATAAAAGATTTAAGTTTGTTTTTCAATTGAGCTATACAGTTTCTAGGTCACATTAAAGGTGGATAAAGTTCTGAAATGATTTATCTTTCTCATTTTTTTTTAGTACATCACAGAAACCTGACATTTTAACAGGGGTGTGTAGACTTTTTATATCCACTGTGTGTATGTATGTATGTACATGTGTGTGTGTGTGTGTGTGTGTATATATATATATATATATATATATATACTATATTGCCAAAAGTATTGGCAGCTATAACAGCTTCAACTCTTCTGGGAAGGCCGTCCACGAGGTTTAGGAGGGTGTCTATGGGAAGGTTTGACCATTCTTCCAGAAGCACATTTGTGAGGTCAGGCACTGATGTCGGATGAGAAGGCCTGGCTCACAGTCTCCGCTCTAATTCATCCCAAAGGTGTTCTATCAGGTTCAGGTCAGGACTCTGTGCAGGTCAGTCATGTTCCTCCACCCCAAACTCACTCATCCATGTCTTTATGGCCCTTGCTTTGTGCACTGGTGCGCAGTCATGTTGGAACAGGAAGGGGCCATCCCCAAACTCTTCCCACACAGTTGGGAGCATGAAATTGTCCAAGATATCTTGGTATACTGACACCTTAAGAGTTCCCTTCACTGGAACTAGGGGGCCAAGCCCAACCCCTGAAAAACAACCCCACACCATAATCCCCCCTCCATCAAACTTTACACTTGGCACAATGCAGTCAGGCAAGTACCGTTCTCCTGGCAACCACCAAATCCAGACATGTCCATTGGATTGCCGACAGAGAAGATTGATTCACCACTCCAGAGAACACATCTCCACTGATCTAGAGTCCAGTGGCGGCGTGCTTTACACCATGGCATCCGATGCTTTGCATTGCACTTGGTGATGTAAGGCTTGGATACAGCTGCTCGGCCATGGAAACCCATTCCATGAAGCTCTCTATGCACTGTTGTTGTGCTAATCTGAAGGCCACATGAAGTTTGGAGGTCTTTAGCTATTGACTCTGCAAACAGTTGGTGACTTCTGCGCTCTCTGCGCTTCAGCATGCGCTGACCCGCTCTGTCATGTGACGTGGCCTACCACTTGGTGGCTGAGTTGTTGTTGTTCCCAGTTGCTTCCACTTTGTTATAATCCCACTAACAGTTGAGCGTGGAATATTTAGTAGCCAGGAAATGTCACGGATGGACTTATTGCACAGGTGACAACCTATCACGGACCACGCTTGGAGTCACTGAGCTCCTGAGAGCGACCCATTCTTTCACAAATGTTTATAGAAGCAGTCTGCATGCCTAGGGGCTGGATTGTATACACCTGTGGCCAAGGAGGGGATTGGAACACCTGAATCTAATGATTTGGAGGGCTGGCCCAATACTTTTGGCAATATAGTGTATATAAAATGAAATGCGAAAATGAAAAGGCTGTTTGTATAGCAGGATTGGGTGGTCCGAAAGGTTTGGTATTTCTATAATTCCATTCTTTTTTTGTACATGATCCAACTTCTGTGCTCTCTACAGGTCGCTATGTGCGAACCAACCTGAACATGCCACAGAGTTTACCGCAAAGGAGCGGCGGCTATCGGGATTATGAGAAAGACGCTCCCATCACAGTGTTCGGGTGCACGCAGGCCAAGCTGGTCGGTGAGTTGTCTTTTGATCTGTTAGAGGAAAAAGCCTTTTCTAAAATATTTTCTGGGAAATTGTTGCTGCTGTTTCCTCCTATTAAGAAAAAGAATTTATGTACCAGAAAAAATGTAAGTTATTTCCTGGTATGTATTTTAAGATGCCTGCACTTGTGGTTTCTCCTCTAAAACAGTTTCTACATTCTTCTCAACTGTTCTGTTCCCTCCTGGCATTACTTAATATTACCCCCCCCCCCCCCAAACCTACCTTTACCCCTGTAGATTATGTCCTATACCTTTCCCTGTAAGCAGTTATTAGTCCCTACACATTGTGCTGCTTGGACCAACAGTGATTCCTACTTAGGATTCTGGCTTCCTGTATGTGATATAAAATATACAATTTATATAGGGGATTTGTCTACAGGTTTTAATTGCAATGATTTGTAAATGTTGACCATTGAGGGTATTGTGTGTTATTGGTTCCAGCAGATAGAGGTTATTGGTGCTTCTTAGCTTTGCTCTACATAAAATCTTCAGAGCTATGATAGCGGTGTAGTCATAGACAAGCTGTATTGGAGGAGGTAAGGGTGACCTTGTATTTTTGTGTATTGCAGGTCAGGCCTTGCTGGAGAGTAACACAGCTGTAGATTTCATATATTGTTCCCCATCCTTGCGTTGCGTACAGACGGCACACAACATACTGAAAGGTGAGTGGATGCCCTGCGTCGCCTCTCTTATGGCAATAGACTTCAGCCCTAAATATTGGGTTCTTTTAATCTTCCCTTCTTATCACTAATTTAAAAAGCATCAGATGCAGCAAGCAATTACAGAACATATACCTATATGTATAAAAAAGTGCTAAAAACACATAATATATATATCAAGTGAAACAGTCAAGTGCAACATATAAGTATATAAAACTTGCGCACAAAATAGGAAATCAGAAAGAAGTAAACTCCATGAATAAATGTGATATTCCATACAATAAATTAAATCAATAATAATCTTTACGGTTGCACTTATCAGATATGTGCAATAATATAATCAAAATTCAATCCAATGACTGTGTTCAAATAGTGTCCTTTTGTTGAAAAAGTGCAATAATGCAAAGTGCAGGGTGAGAGCGTGTGATCAATCACACAGGGAGTTCCACCACCACGGATGGGTGTACACTCACCAGAAGGTATATGATATCAGGCATATAGTATGTCACATCTGGAGGTGAAGAGGCAGCCAAGGGGTTAACCATACTGCTCCATCAAGGCGTAGGTGGATGAAGGGACCCTTGTCCTAGGGAAGATAGAATAAATATATAGTTTGTGTCAGGAACTTGTCCTGCAGTCCTAAAGAGTTCACAGAGGTCGTAGAACTGGTCATGTACAGTGGGGATCGAAAGTTTGGGCACCCCAGCTAAAAATTTGTATTAATGTGCATAAAGAAGCCAAGGAAAGATGGAAAAATCTCCAAAAGGCATCAAATTACAGATTAGACATTCTTATAATATGTCAACAAAAGTTAGATTTTATTTCCATCATTTACACTTTCAAAATAACAGAAAACAAAAAAATGGCGTCTGCAAAAGTTTGGGCACCCTGCAGAATTTATAGCATGCACTGCCCCCTTTGCCAAGCTGAGACCTGCCAGTGTCATGGATTGTTCTCAATCATCGTCTGGGAAGACCAGGTGATGTCAATCTCAAAGGTTTTAAATGCCCAGACTCATCTGACCTTGCCCCAACAATCAGCACTATGGGTTCTTCTAAGGAGTTGTCTAGAACAGTGTTTTTCAACCTTTTTTGTGCAAAGGCACACTTTTTTCATGAAAAAAATCACGAGGCACACCACCATTAGAAAATGTTAAAAAAATTTACCTCTGTGCCTATATTGACTATATATAAAGTAATTCTCTTGAATAGGAATCAAACACAAAGAAATTATTTTATAATTACTTTATTATGAAATAATAAAGTATTTTATAATTGGACCCGGGGGCCGGACCAAGAGTAGATGAATGATGTGTATGTGTCATCCATAGTAAGTATAGTAATATTCCCCCATAGTAAGCATAGTAATTAATCCCTCATATAGTATTTTCATCCCCCCATATAGTATTTCATCCCTCATATAGTATTTCATCCCTCATATAGTAATTCATCCCTCATATAGTATTTCATCCCCCCATATAGTAATTCATCCCTCATATAGTATTTCATCCCCCCATATAGTATTTCATCCCCCCATATAGTATTTCATCCCTCATATAGTAATTCATCCCTCATATAGTATTTCATCCCCCCATATAGTATTTCATCCCCCCATATAGTATTTCATCCCCCCATATAGTATTTCATCCCTCATATAGTAATTCATCCCTCATATAGTATTTCATCCCTCATATAGTATTTCATCCCTCATATAGTATTTCATCCCCCATATAGTATTTCATCCCCCCATATAGTATTTCATCCCCTCATATAGTATTTCATCCCTCATATAGTATTTCATCCCCCATATAGTATTTCATCCCTCATACAGTAATTCATCCCTCATATAGTAATTCATCCCCCATATAGTATTTCATCCCTCATATAGTATTTCATCCCCCCATATAGTATTTCATCCCTCATATAGTAATTCATCCCCCCATATAGTATTTCATCCCCCCATATAGTATTTCATCCCCCCATATAGTATTTCATCCCTCATATAGTAATTCATCCCTGATATAGTAATTCATCCCCCATATAGTATTTCATCCCCCCATATAGTATTTCATCCCTCATAAAGTAATTCATCCCTCATATAGTATTTCATCCCCCACAGTACTATTCCCCCCCCCCCCTTCTAGTAAGCCAAGTCCCCCGTGTCAATTCACTTACCTTTTGCGTTCCTCTCGCTGTCTTCCCGCGCCGTTCGGGTCTTCAGGGCGGACTGTGAGAGGAGCCTAGCTCCCCTCCCCTCACGTTCGGCACGCTGCCCCGCCTACACACATCCTGACAGCCACATCCGCAAGCCGGATTAAAAGGTCCGCGCGGACTTTTGGGGCTGCCAACCGAGAGGAGGCAGGGGAGCGGCCGACCGACCGAGAGGAGGGAGGGGAGCAGGCGCCCGGCACACAGAAGAGCCGCATTAGACTGGGTAAAGAGCCGCATGTGGCTCGCGAGCCGCGGCTTGCCGACCACTGAATCATTAGATTCTAATGATTGGTCTATTTGTGAGCCGAAGCCACATGTTACAGATGAAATTGGAATTTTTCCCACGGCACACCAGACAATATCTCACGGCACACTAGTGTGCCGCGGCACAGTGGTTGAAAAACGCTGGTCTAGAAAACTGAAACTGAAAATAGTTGACGCTCACAAAGCTGGAGAAGGCTATAAGAAGATAGCAAAGCGTTTTCAGATGTCAATATCCTCTGTTCGGAATGTAATTAAGAAATGGCAGTCTTCAGGAACAGTGGAAGTTAAAGCAAGATCTGGAAGACCAAGAAAAATATCAGACAGAACAGCTTGCAGGATTGTGAGAAAAACAATTCAAAACCCACGTTTGACTGCACGATCCCTCCAGAAAGATCTGGCAGACACTGGAGTTGTGGTACACTATTCCACTATAAAGAGATAATTGTACAAATATGGTCTTCATGGAAGAGTCATCAGAAGAAAACCTCTTCTACGTCCTCACCACAAAAATCATCGTTTGAACTTTGCAAATGAACATATAGACAAGCCTGATGCATTTTGTAAACAAGTTCTGTGGACCGATGAGGTTAAAATTGAACTTTTTGGCCGGAATGAGCAAAGGTACGTTTGGAGAAGAAGGGGCAGAGAATTTAAAGAAAAGAACCTCTGTCCAACTGTTAAGCATGGGGTTGGATCAATCATTTGGGGTTGTGTTGCAGCCAGTGGCACAGGGAACATCTCACGATTAGAAGGAAAAATGGATTCAATAAAATGTCAGCAAATTTTGGATGGTAACTTGATGCCATCTGTGAAAAAAAGCTGAAGTTAAAGAGAGGATGGCTTCTACAAATGGATAATGATCCTAAACACACCTCGAAATCCACGGGGGATTACATCAAGAGGCGTAAACTGAAAGTTTTGCCATGGCCTTCACAATCTCCTGACCTCAACATAATTGAAAATCTATGGATAGACCTTAAAAGAGCAGTGCGTGACAGACAGCCCAGAAATATCAAAGAACTGGAAGACTTTTGTAAGGAAGAATGGGCAAAGATACCTCAAACAAGAATTGAAAGACTCTTGGCTGGCTACAAAAAGCGTTTACAAGCTGTGATACTTGCCAAAGGGGCAGTACAAGATATTAACTCTGCAGGGTGCCCAAACTTTTGCAGATGCTATTTTTTTGTTTTCTGTTATTTTGAAAGTGTAAATGATGGAAATAAAATCTAACTTTTGTTGACATATTATAAGAATGTCTAATCTGTAATTTGATGCCTTTTGGAGATTTTTCCATCTTTCCTTGGCTTCTTTATGCACATTAATACAAATTTTTAGCTGGGGTGCCCAAACTTTTGATCCCCACTGTATGCCATATGTAAATATCTACCAGAGAACGATCTTGAGTGTTTTATGTGATTATGTTTGTGATCTTCTTCTGGAGGAGTCAAATGTTCAACCAGTGTCAACACCAGTTACAGTTTGTGGAGACATACATGGCCAGTTCCATAACCTCTGTGAACTCTTTAGGACTGGAGGACAAGTTCCTGACACAAACTATATATTTATGCTATCTTCCCTAGGACAGGGATCCCTTCATCCACCTACACCTTGATGAAGCACCCTTCAGATCCAGTCTAGGAATGACTAGAGCATTTGAACAGGGCCAGGCCAAGGGGGGTGGGCACAAGAGACAGCAGACTTGGGCTCTTCAACAAAAGGGGGCAGGAAGTGAGACCTATGCTGCTGAAGTAGCCTACACCTCTTGGTGTGGAGAAGGGGGTGCTAAAAGACCTTGTCCTGGTTCAACCCTTAAAACAGACCTTGCAGTACAATACAAGTTCCTCTCATAATGCCCCCCTCTCCCAGTACAGATAGCCTTCAGTTAGTTTTCATAAAGTGTACCTATAATGAAAAAAGTTAGATTTACCTTTCATATCGCTGATTTTACCGTCCTTCCAGAAGATTCCTGAGGAATGCAGAGCAGGCCATATCTCATGAGAAGTCTCTCCAGTCCACTGCAAGAGCGTCATTTTTGTTAGATTTGTGCCACTCTGCATTCTGGAAGAAATGCAACCTCACCCTCCAGGTCCCATAAGCAGAAGACAGGGGTAGGGAAAGTACGCAGTCTATATTTTTGGTCTCTTATAGGTACCTCTTGCAAGTATTGTCTGCAGACCAATGGTGCATGGGGAGGGACCTGCGTATTATGATTAATGGCACGTTCAGCTGTAGCTTTTAGCAGGAGTCATTGGCTTTAAGAAACTGCAAGCAATGTTAGAGCCCAACATCAACCAGCAGTCCCATTAAGACCTGTGTTTATCCATCCCAAGCTGGCACTGAAGGGGGCTATAAGGGTTTCAAGAAAAAAACTCAAATGTTGTAAAATACTTTGTAGATGTTGCAAGTAATACAGTTGTTGTCTGCATTGAATATTTTTCAGGCCTCAAGCAAGACAGTAAAGGAAAAATCCGGGTGGAGCCAGGCTTATTTGAGTGGACGAAGTGGGTGTCTGGTACCTCGCTGCCCGCCTGGCTCTCACCCACAGAAATGGCAGCTGCCAATCTAAATGTGGACACAACGTACAGGTAATCACTGCGTCTGGAAATATAACTCCCTTTCCTGAATTCCCTCCTTGTTACTCCTTGATTTACAGTTCTGTGTCCGACAGAGCTGTGGCCAGAAGGATTGTTGTACATTAGAGTCCATACATATTGTAATTGAGTTGTTTAAAGTGACAACCAGAACTCCTATGTAGATCTAGGTATAAAATCCTCGAGCTGAAGGGTGCTTTACAATCTTCAACAAAACGGCCCAAAGTGGCTGAAAGCTCAGCTAATGTTTTGTAAAAGCTTGCTGTACACACTGTGCTGATACAAGCTGATCCCATATGTACCGTAGTCCAGGACATGTATATTAGAGGTGCTGTAATCGACTCATCAGAAGTTCATGGTTGAAGTAAGGAAATGGAATTCATGTGGGGTTCAATGACTGCTCTCAACCAAAACAGGGTGCCCCCTAACTAGGGGTCCCAATGTTTGAGATCCACGGGTGAAAAGTCTAAAGAAAGCACAAGACCATCTAAGAGACCAAAATTTCTTATTAGTGTTTGTTCATGACATAAACTGGCCAACACGCTTCAGGGAAATAAAAACCTTCATCAGGCTCATATATATAGCAAATTTTAGAGCGTATTTATTTATAATGTAATCCTTGTAATATTCCAGGGCTGAGGAGATCGCAAATGATGCTGGCCCTGGGAAGGGTAAACCCTTCCCTTACCTGAGTGTCTTTCTCCTATATATGCCTTTCAGGGTGACGCTTTTCTGTATAACCCCTACACCTTTTCCTCTCTCCTATTATTACCAGTTCCTAGTGTTTGTAACCTTTATATGCCTTTCCCCATTGCTTCTCTCCTATTAATACCCCTTCCTGGTGCTCCTTGCCTTTATGGCCTTTCCCTATGCCTCTCTTCAGTATATACCATTCCTTATCCAGTGCCTCTCTAATTTATACCCTTCCATGGTGACACTCCCTTATGCCCTTTCCTAATGCCTCTCTCATATATTTATATGCTGTATACCCCTTTCCTGGTACTGCTCTTTTTTATATGCCCTTCCCCTTTGCCTCTCTCCTATTATTACCCGTTCCTGGTGTTGCTCACCCTTATATACCCTTCCCCATTGTTTCCCTCCCATTAATACCCTTTCTTGGTGCTCCTTGTCTTTATGGCCTTTCCCTTTGCTCCTCTTCTATATATACCATCCCTTATCTGATGCCTCTTATTTATGCCTTTCCATGGTGATATTCAATTTATATATGCCTTTTCTTGTTGCCTCTCTCATATTTATATATACAGTTCCCCTTTCCTGGTTCTGTTCTTTTGTATATGCCTTTCCCCATCGCCTCTCTCCAATATATTGTATACTCTTTCCTGGTGCTGCTCACCTTTTATATACCCTTCCCCATTGTCTAACTTCTTTATATACCTTTCTCTTACCCAGTGCTCTTCTCTTACATATGCAATTCCCCAGTGCTCCTCTCCTTTATATGCCATCCCCCAATGCCAATCTTTTACTGTACATATACAGTCCCCTTAGCAACTGACTCTCTTCTTTCTATCTGTCTACTATCCTTACCCAAAACCTCACACAATGATATTTGTCCTTCCCTACTCTGGTGCTCCATTCTTATATGTGTAGGTGGTGTACAACGTGGTGAGGTGGCAATACTTCACACAGGGGGATGCAGTAAAGAACTTGTATTGAAGTATGCAGAAACAGTTCACAACCAAACCCGGGGAAGGGGGGGGACTGCCCAGTGGGTGCACTCACTGTTCTCGGCAATGTGAATGAAGTGATGCTCAGCCAGGATGACAGCGCCTGACCATCTCCTGCCCAATCTGGAAGATGTCCAGAGGAGTCACAGACCCTACACTTTCCCTCCTCATCAGGAACCTTTCCCTACCACTAACACTGTCCCTTACAGGCAGAATACCAAACCAGAGAACCAGGGCCTTTAAATAGGCTCTGTCTGACCCAATATGGCCACCAGAGTCACATGGGGTGGCAGCATCCAATCGGATAGCTTCCTCAGTGACCCCGGAAACCATAGAGGAACCCTGTTCCTCTTGACTTGACAGTGCCATTGCAGAGAGCGCCACCTGCAGTGGAGAAAGTAGACTGCACCTGTCTACACTTGTATGTACTGTATGTATTTTGAGGTTCAATAAACTTTCAGTGCCTTGCTTTCCCTTTGAACATTGCTATACCTTCTGTTTTTCCTGCAGACCTCACATACCGATCAGCAAGCTGGTGGTATCCGAGACATACGACACGTACATGAGTCGGAGTTTCCAGGTGACAAAGGACATCCTCAGCGAGTGCAAAGGTAAAGGTGAGCATATGTGCTCAATGTAGTAAAACATTGTTCAACATGAGGCTCAGGAAGGGACACTTCTAATTTCTTTCCTCATGAAACCTGCTGAGCTGTGAAGAACTGAGGAGGAGGAGGAATGATCCCAAAGTCTAGTCCTCATTCTTTCAAATCTTCCACATGTGACTGATCCTTTTGTAATATTTATTTATTTATTGATTGATTTAAATGTTGTTTTTCTGAAGTTGCATGTCATTCTGCTATATGAGCAGTGCTACATGGAGTTCTTTAGGAAATTAAAGGGATGGGGTAAAGTGGAACTTCACTCTTTCAATCAGCACTGACTACTTTTAACCACTTCCCTCCAGAGGATTTACCCCCCTTCCTGACCAGGCCATTTTTTTTTTTTTGCAATACGGCACTTCTTTACTTTAACTGACAATTGCGCAGTCATGCAACGCTGCATATAAATTAAATTTTCATCATTTTTTTATCCACGAATTGAGCTTTCTTTTGGTGGTATTTGATAGCCTGGACGTTTTTAATTTTTTGCGCTATAAACAAAAAAATGCCAACAGTTTTTTAAAAAAAAACCAATATTTTTGACTTTTTTACTATTAAACCTATCCAGTAAAACAACTTAAAAAATCAAATTTCATCATAAATTTAGGCCAAAATGTATTGTGCTACATGTCTTTGCTAAAAAAAAAAAGCACGCGCCTTCCTCTGGATCAACTGTGGGTATAGGATTATAACTTTTTTTATTTTTGAATGGTTGAACTGGATGGACTTTTGTCTTTTTTCAGCCAGACTAACTATGTAATTATGTAACTGTGTAAATTAATTAGCTTATGTGAAAGTTATAGCTTTTACAAATGGCGGTATATATACTGGAATTTTTTTTTTTTTTTTATCAGTAATGGCGACCATCAGTGATTTATAGTGGGATTGCGGTCGGCATTCTGACACTGGAGGGAACTGACTTGGTGTCACTGACATCCCCAGTTACACCTATACAGTGATCAGTTTTAATAAAAAGCGCTGACACTGTACTAATGGCACTGGGCAGGAAGGGGTTAACATGTGGGGTGATCAAAGGGTTAACTGTGTGCTGTGTGTGTGTGTTTCACTGTAAGCACACTGCTTTGTATGGCTGTACTATGCAGAGCCATACAAAGCAGTGTACAGGAGCTGACAGGGGAGAGATCTGTATTGTTTACATACAGGTCTCTTCCCTGTCGGTAATACTCGGAAACTGCCAGGTGCTGGTGAGGAATCACCATCTGGAACCCAGTGATTGACAGCCAAGGCTGCGAATGGCGGCGCGGGGAACTGCAAAATCTTGGGTGTGTATGTATGTATGTATATTATTATTATTATACAGGATTTTATATAGCGCCAACAGTTTGCTCAGCACTTTACAATATAAATATATATATGTGATTTTACACACCCGTGCCGCCCTGTAGCAGTATTTCTGCTTTTGGGTGACGTGGAAGCGGTAACTTCTGGTAGCATTAGTAAATACATAGGAGTGTATATCATATTCACTTGTTTTAAACAATTTTTGTATGTTTCTTCAGTTCCTTTTTGGTTTCTTGCCTAGGCACATGTTGTCATACATCCCAGGAGTCTTCTGGAGGGGAGGAGGGGTTTACTCAGCTAAGCACGCCCTCCTGTCTGCTTGTCTGAACTAAGGGCAGATGGATATCAGGAAGTCAACGCTACATTAATCATCTGCCCTTACTCAAGATGGCCTCGGCCAGAAATGCAATGGGGGGGTTCAAAGAGATTTCTCAGCAAAATAAAGTATGTAGGCATGGATGGATTGGAGAAAGGGGGGGCGAGGGGTTGCTTTGAATATTATCAATTAATTAAATAGCATTTTTGCTTTGTGGTGCTCAGATGCAGTGTAGTTCCGCTTTATGCTGTTTTCTGTCTGCTGAGAAATCCTCATGTCACCCTCTTCTCTCCCTCCAGGAAATAACATCCTGATAGTAGCACACGCCTCCTCCCTAGAAGCCTGCACCCGCCAGCTACAGGGTCTCACCCCGCAAAACTCCAAGGACTTTGTACAGGTGGTCAGAAAGGTGAGTAGATAAGTAGAAACATATCTGAAAATGAACTGTCTGTGTTGCCCATAGTAGGTACATTTCCTTAATGCTGGCAGCTGGAACCAGATTGGACACTGTGGTCCTGCCTTTTTGTAATTTTTCTTACGTCTTTGTTGTAGAATTGAACCCGTTTATTTGCACAATGAGGCTAAGGATCCCATACGTCTCTAAAATCAATTCTTTCAATATTCAATACTGTGCACAGTTTTAATTGTGTTTCAATCAGTTTTTTTCATGTTTAATTTAAAGAGTTTGTAAAGGCTCAAGGTTTTTTACCTTAATGCATTCTATTCATGAAGGTAAAAAATCTTCTGTTCAGCATCCCCCTCAGCCCCCTCAGCCCCCTCAATACTTACCTGAGCCCCCTTCGATCCAGAGATCAGCACAACAGCCTCGGCTGTCCCGGGTCTCTGCCTCCTCTTTGGCTCAGACAGCAAGTGGGAGCCATTGGCTCCCTCTGCTGTCAATCGCAGCCAGTCAGCCAATGAGGAGAGATGGGGGTGTGACTCTGAGTGTGAAAGGACACATGGAGCAGTGGGTGCCCCCATAGAAATTTGATTGCTGTGGGGCGCAACCGACAGGAGGGAGGGGCCAGGAGATGAGGATCCGGGCTGCTCTGTGCAAAACCACTACACACAGCAGGTAAGTATAGACATGTTTGTTATTTTACAAAAAAATATGAACCTTTAGTATGGCTTTAATTTAGAAAAAAAAATGGACCAGATGTAAGAATGTGGCCCTTTTTATACTAAGTTGGTGCAAGGCATTATTGAACAATTATTTTGATTCCTTTTTTTAAGGACCTGTTAAAAAAAAAAATCTGTTGAATGATCAAGCTGATGGAAAACAGGATAATGCTTTGCGTGCGTATTCACTCCCTCAGCCTGCCTTTTGTAGTGATGAAAGGCTGAAATACAATAGAAAGATTTGGCAATGCTACTGTTTGATCAACAGAACATCCTTAACCCTTTGACATCCAGAAGCCACTGATCCATAAATTGCCCAGACCAAATTTACAGTGTCAGTTTGAGTCCGTCATACTTAATAGTAACTCAGGGATTAATTGGGCCATCCAAATAGTTTTGTTTAAAGCATATATGGCTTTTATTTGGTACACTGTTTTAGTAACTTGCTTAGATAATTATTTTTATGGTTGTTGTTGTTTTGGTATTGTCATTTTTATAGGGTGATATTTTATACATCATATTATTTGCCGAAAATAGACAAATAAGTCAAAACATTTTTTAAATTATTATTATTATTATTATAATTTTGTAAATATCCTGCTTAGATTTTTTTTTTTTTAGATTTTTTCTTTTTAATTATTTTTTGTCTTATTTGCTAATTGTCAAATACATCAAAATCTTTTTATCTATTTATTTTTTAGTACCCTGCTTCGATTATATGATGATTACTGTATAATAATTATTATTACTAATATTCAGTTTCTTTTGCAAAGGTTTTTCCTCTGTGCACAGCAATTTCACAGGGAAAGATATATTATTTATTTATTTCAGGTACTTATATAGTGCCGTCAATTTACACAGCGCTTTACATACATATATATTGTACATTCACATCAGTCCCTAACCCTCAAGGGGTGTAAAATCTAAGGTCCCTAACTTACATTCATACATACACATATTAGGGCCAATTTAGTCAGAATCTTATTAACCTATCAGCATGTCTTTGGAGTGAGGGGGGAAACTGGAGTACCTGGAGGAAACCCACGCAGGCACATGGAGAACATGCAAACTCCAGGCAGGTGGTGCTGTGGCTGGGAATCGAACCAACAACCCTAGTACTGGCAGGTGGAAGTGCTAACCATTTAGCCACTGTGCTGCCCCATATATATGCACTAGTACTGGTCACTGTGACTGACAGCTGTTCAATAACAAAGCCATGTGATCTGGGCACCACGGTGAATGGCTCCCAATCATCAATCAGACTTACATGTAGTAGTATACATCACTGCACGCTCCTAGCTGTCGAAATGTGACAAAGATTAACATAATCCTGTACATCTACAGATTGTAGACAGGTGCAAAAAATTGATTTCATTGTGACAGAAATGAAACCCCCCAAAAAAGCAGATGCCCCACAATGGACACTTGTGTACACATTCGTGACATAAAGTTCCAGTGGACTGTAATGCTACATAATGTGGTTGAGTCCGGGGTGGGGGGTGAATTCATTGCAAGCACCAGGGTACCTTTTGAGCAGACTGTGAAACTTGCACAAGGGTTCCTCTAGGACTTAGAGGCCCATTTATACTAGTGTTGGAACATATGGATACGAAAACCCCCTCCAAAAATTGTTTTCCAGGCCTCTGGTGAGCACCATAACTTTGCACTTGCTCCCCAGCCATTGTTGAGGTTCTCATTGGTATCCTGTCCTTTCTTCCAGATTCCATATTTGGGTTTCTGCTGTTGTGAAGAGCTGGGAGACACAAGCCTGTGGCAGCTGACGGACCCCCCGATTCTCCCGCTCACTCATGGGCCCACTGGGGGATTTAACTGGAGAGAGACTTTACTGCAGGAGTGAGCTGCAGTTCATGGACCAAACTGTTCCTCCGATCCAAACTGTAGAACGTTTTCGCCTCTGGATGCAAAACGGCGGCAAGGTGCCGCGCGGCTGCCCCGCCTATACCAATGTAATCTATGTTTTGCCTATATATATATATATATCTGTATGTGAAGATTAGCTATTTTTGTTGAGGATCTATATTTACCGGTTCAAAAGTGATATATCTGTATAGTAAACCAATGCCTTCTGGCGCAGAGTTGGAAGCGTCATAGCGCAGGATTCCGCTAGCGGCAACTTTATCCTCGCCGTCTTCAGGTCATTGTGTATGTAGCTTTGGTTCTGTCCGCCGGGGGCCATCCTGACATTGAGCTGAAGTGAAGCTTTTGTCTTCCTGGATAATAATTTATCAATATTTATTGCTGGCGGTTGGGTCTCCTAGAGTTTTGGGGTTCCATAGGGCTCCGAGCGCCATGCTCCACCACAAGCAAATGGGAGTCAGTCACTTGCTGACCTTTCCTGCTGCCAATGCTGATCCTCTAGATTCTGTAGTGACTGAGAACATTGGGGGGCCACATTTGCTGCATGATTGTGTCAGGTCAGTGACGTAGAAAGTCAGAGGATCGACATGGCGGGCAACTAGAATTTTTCCATAAGGGATCAGTAATGGTAGCCCCATATTTCAGCTAAGGATTCCTTTATTGGCTACTATTGATTGGTGCATGTTTCATTAGTGTCAGTACTGTGTGTTTTAGGGTGACGTCTCTTCTTCTTTATATTCTGGGTTTTTCCCTGGATATTAGGCAACTCCAGCCAAATGGATAGAATAGATGGAGCCTGATCAATTTAGTGCTTACTACAGTCCTGGCTGCATAACAATGAGGAAATGACAACACTTTCAGATCTGCAGTGCTATAGACTCAGTGCCACTGCCCCACCTCCTTCTTTGAACTACTAGAGAACATCATAGCAATGGGAATGCCTATCCTGAGCACTGTTCTTCCCACTAGGCTCTGCAGCACATCAGGTTACATGGTGGGCTTGAATTACCATGCGGCTTCTTATGTCTCTCAGAGGCTCTGGTGGTGAGGTTTTATCACAGTACTTTGTGCCTCTGCCTCTCTCACGCAGATATTCTGAAGACTTCCCTTTCTCATGGCTGTGTCACTGCCCCTCCCACAAAAAGCCATACTGACAGGGTCACCCTCATAGCTGTCTCTTCCCCTTCCAAAGGGTCATACTGAAGGTGTGACTTTTTCCTGGCTGTGTCACTGCCCCTCCCACAAGGCCTTACTGACAGGGTCACCCTCCAAAAGCTGTCTCTGCCCCTCCCACAGGGCCATGCTGAAGGTGTCCCTTTCTCATGGCTGTGTCACTGCCCCCCCACAAGGCCTTACTGACAGTGTCACCCTCTAAGAGCTGTCTCTTTGCCCCTTCTGCCTGGCCATATTGGTGGTGTCTCCCTCTAATAGCTGTCTTTGCCCCTCCCACAGGGCCATACTTAAGGTGTCACATTCTCATTGCTGTGTCTCTGCCCCTCCCACAGGGCCATAATAATGGTGTCATCCTTCTACAGCTGTGTTTTGCTTTCCCTCCAAAGGGCATACTAAAAGTGTCACTCTTTTATGGCTGTGTCTCTGTACCTCTCAAAGGCCATACTAACAATATCCCTCTCGCTCTCTGCACCTGCTACAATGCCATACTGATAGTGTCACTCTCTTACAGTTGTCTGCCTGCCTGTCTTTAAAGGCCAAGCTGCATACATCACTCACACAACTGTCTCTGACCTACCTACAGGGCCATACTGGAGGTGTTACTTCTTCACGGCTGTGTCTCGGCCCATCCCACAAGGCCCTATGGAGGAAGCCACCCTCCAAGCTGTATCTTTGCCCCTCCCACAAAGATGTTTTGAGGAAGTCACCATTGTAGATATCTCTGCCCCTCCCACAAAGATGTACTGAGGAAGTCACCATTGTAATTGTGTCTCTGCCCCTCCCACAAGGCTGTGCTGAGGAAGTCACCATTACAGCTGTGTCTCTACCCCTCCCACAATACTGTGCTGAGGAAGCCACCTTCCCAGCAGTGTCTCTGCCCCTCCCACAAAGATGTACTGAGGAAATCACCATTGTAGTTGTCACTGCCCCTCCCACAAAACTGTGCTGAGGAAGTCACCATTACAGCTGTGTCTCTGCCCCTCCCACAAGGCTGTGCTGAGGAAGCCACCCTCCCAGCTGTGTCTCTGCCCCTCCCACAAGGATGTACTGAATAAGTCACCATTGTAGTTGTCTCTGCCCCTCCCACAATACTGTGCTGAGGAAGCCACCTTCCCAGCAGTGTCTCTGCCCCTCCCACAAAGATGTACTGAGGAAATCACCATTGTAGTTATCACTGCCCCTCCCACAAAGCTGTGCTGAGGAAGTCACCATTACAACTGTGTCTCTGCCCCTCCCACAAGGTTGTACCGGGGAAGTCACCATTACAGATGTGTCTCTGCCCCTCCCACAAAGCTGTACTGAGGATGTCACCATTATAAATGTGTCTCTGCTCCTTCCCACAAAGTTATACTGAGGAAGTCACCATTATAGATGTGTCATTGCCCCTCCCACAAGGCTGTGCTGAAGGTGTCACTCTTCCAGAACCACACTCTCCAAGTATTTGTTAATTCCACATTTTGGAGACTCCATTGGAGAAGGTGACACCCTTACTAACCTGTTTAAATGTCAGGTGAACTGGAAAGTATGGAATTTTGGTGGGTAGCTCCTGTCGTTAGCATCCCCCAGTGTTTTTAGAAGCCGGGAGGTTATGTAGCTTACCAGCAGTTACACAGCACTGACATATCCCATTTGGGTGGAGTTGACCTTTAAGCTGCTTTATTGCACCATAGGCAGTTGATAAATCATATTACGTACTTTGCAATCTAACTATGCAGTCCAAAACACTTCCACGTCGCAGGACTCCTGTATAGAAATAATCTGCAGGTCCAGCTTTTTGGTCTCCAGTCTTTACTAGAAAACTAGCAACTTTGATGTGGTTGGTTGGCGGAGGCACAGAAGCCCTTTAGCAGTTGTTATGCATTATCCTGGAAATTGCAGTGCTTCTCAATGCAGTCTACAAGCTGGACCCAGGTGCAGTATTTTGGGTTCAAACCAAATCAATGGACTCGTTTAATAAACCAATGCAAAGTGCGTTAGCTTAAAAAGCAACCAATCAGAATGAGTCTGCTAATGTTCGGTCATTAAACCGACGTCTGTTTGGCTGCTAGGGGTCACTTACTGTCTTGTTTTTACTGGATAAGACCACATATCTGTTTTGGGTGAATAGTGTAGTTATTCCCTGGCCGATCACTCTGGTCATGCGGTACAGATAGATGTATTATAATTGTTTGGCAGCTACTGAGAATTGATCTTCATTGGCCGAAACGCGTAGAGTACCAGTACTCCTATGTACCATGTGATGTCATTTTATAAGCATGCTGCAATTAAATAGCCAATATTCAGGGTGATGTAGATCTGACAGACTGTTCTGAGGTCAACTGGACAGCTTAGAGCACGGGTGTCAAACTGGAGGCCCTCCAGCTGTTGCCAAACTACAAGTCCCATGAAGCATTGCAAGATTGACAGTTACAAGCATGACTCCCACAGGCAGAGGCATGATGGGACTTGTAATTCTCAGATCAAAGTCCCATCATGCCTCTGCCTTGGCGAGTCATGCTTGTAACTGTCAATCTTGCAATGCCTCATGGGACTTGTAGTTTGGCAACAGCTGGAGGGCTGCCAGTTTGACAACCCTGGCTTAGAGGGCAACAACTAAAACCAGAGTGTAACCTGCCAGTGCTCTCCAGGAAACTCTGCTACTGCGCTAAAGTTAGGAAGTCTACTCAGCTCCCCTTCATCTTATATAATCCCTCCAGCCATTCATTCTCAATATATCTAGATGGCACTGCAAACATTGACCACATGATCAAGGAACCCCAAAACACCAGTCTAGGATTCAGGATCATGACAGCACAGCCATTGAGGGCAGGAACACCACCTCTTCTTCTCTCCTTGTGTTTGGATGTGCAAATTCTAAGGCAGCTCTCTGCCAATTTGCTCTGCTGTGCTTTTGCTGGATCTACATCACCCTGAATCCCATCGTTGTTCCATAGTAATGGTGGTTACATAGTAACAGCTGTGGGCAACGCCACCCAATGTTAATTTCTCCTTTGTGTCTGAAATGAGACAAGCTCGGAGCCCCCAGATGGGTCTTTATCACCATGTGGGACCCAGTGTGGGAGGTCACCTGCCATGGCTTCCTGGCCTTGTCATGTATTCCTAGGAGTTATCCATTACAGGGCAGGTGATACAGTAGTTTTGCCTAGCACCCTTTAATGGATAGCTAGCAGCCTATGGAGCAAATGACAACAGTGGCTCGAAAAGGGGGGATTGGTTTGGAGGGTGGGGTGATCACTCAATTAGGGACTGACCTCTTCCCCACTTGATCAATTTTGGGTGGAGCTGTTTATTTACATATTTAACTGGAACCCTGTGCATTACAACAGAATATTTTCTTGTAACAATATGTAAAAAATTATGAAAACAAATATTGTAACCTCTTCCTACCATCGTTCTATCTGTTACGTCCTCTCTGCAGCTCTGTCTGCGCTTTTTCAGCCAAATCTTTCTATCCTCCAGTAGAGGGCGTTTACATTGTCCAGAAAAGAACTGCATATAAAGGACAATAGAAACAAACTCCTCCACCCGATTATATAAAGGCATTGCTGGAAAGCACAGAGGAATGTTAGAAAGACACTTACTCGGGGGTTTGAATTCCTTTATGACCTGAATAGCAGTTCTGCCATTTGTGACGTCAGCCTATGTTATATGTCAGGATAATATTTGCACATATTGTACGTATGTCAGCGTCCAATGGAGGAAAAGCGATCTTGGCTTGCTGGGGCTTGTAGTTCCACTGCAGCCGGCGATGCTCTATAGCTTGTGACTTCTACGATTGCACTGTACTGCAGTATTATGCTACATAGA